TCCCGCAGGAGCCTTCTCTGTATTTCTCCACTGCCGCAGCAGTGACTGCTCCCGCAGGAGCCTTTATCTATATTTCCCCAATGCCACAGCAGTGGCCGCTCCCGCAGGAGCCAGCCCATCCCTGTTCACTCGAACCCCTGACCCACCATAGCCAACCCCCCTTAACATCACATAATCCATCCATAATGGCCCATCCCCACCCCAGCCATCCCAACAACACCCCGCTCCCACAGGAGCCTTACCTAATTCCCACACTTCCGCAGCAGTCCCCACTCCCGCAGGAGCCTTTTCTGAATTTCCTACTGTAGCAGCAGTGTCTGCTCCCGCAGGAGCCTTTTCTGTATTTCCCCACTGCCGCAGCAGTGACTGCTCCTGCAGGAGCCTTTTCCGTATTTCTCTACTGCCGCAGAAGTGTCTGCTCCCGCAGGAGCCTTTTCTGTATTTCTCTACTTCCGCAGCAGCGTCCGCTTCCGCAGGAGCCCTTTCTATATTTGCCCCCACTGCCGCAGCAGTGCCTGCTCGCACAAGAGCCTTTTCTATCTTTCTCTACAACCACGATAGTCGCGTCTCCCGCAGGAGCCTTTAGCTCTCTCTTTCAGCACAGAACGCTTCCACAGAAGCCAAATTCTCTTCCTAGGAGGGGGTGCCCTGGGCTCGGGAGTCTTGCCGAGGTCTGAGCCCTCTCCCTGGACAGCACGCCAAATACGCATAACCTTTATTTACTGGGCTGGACACCGAGCTCGGACCCCTCTCCCAGGACAGGAGGGGGTGCCCTGGGCTCGGGAGTCTTGCCGAGGTCTGAGCCCTCTCCCTGGACAGCACGCCAAATACGCATAACCTTTATTTAATTATACGAAAGTGTGAACTCGTGAAGTGATGTTTATAAACAAATTTTGGGAGGAGCACGCACGGGTAATTAACACGGCCAGTCCATCATTAGTGATTACACCATTTATCCAATCAGCACAAAAGAAAACTCCTATAAATAACCAAATACATCCTACCTTCGTTATCTCTCGACTTTCAGCATCCCTCCGCCACCCCAACCCCGCACCTTCAGCATAGTTTCTACCCCAGCACGGGGAGAAGCACTCGGGGGGGGGCGCTTTTGCCCGGGCTGGACACTGAGCTCGGACCCCTCTCCCTGGACAGGAGGGGGTGCCCTGGGCTCGGGAGTCTTGCCGAGCTCTGAGCCCTCTCCCTGGACAGCACACCAAATACGCATAACCTTTATTTAATTATACGAAAGTGTGAACTCGTTGTTTCTTGTTTAATTACACACATGATTACACGCATGTTTCCGTCAAACTGTTGTATAAACGCAATATCACTCTCGTACTCGAGCTATACCGGCTCTATATCAGCGGCTGTGACTGCCTCGTGCCTCTGGCCTAATCACAGCCATGCTGATATAGAGCCGGTATAGCTCGAGTACGAGAGTGATATTGCTCATGTATCCCAGACATACAACTTAATTCTGTTTAACGTATGTATGTACTATTATGCCTCTGAAATCTGTCTTTACAAAGTGCAAAATAACATAGCAATTACTCTTACTTAATGAGTCCTATCAATAAAGACTCATTAAGTTTGAATTTCAAGTAGCATACAAGCATTTTACTCTGGAGTCATACGCATAGTGTGCTATTCCAAATTCAGTCCCTTGCTGCATCCCAATGTGCCTATACTACACCCTTAAAGTATGTACTTATTTTGGTGAAGAAAAGTACACACTTTTGCTAGCTATCACGTTATACAATTGCGTCTTTAACGAAGCACTCTGTCGCATAGTTACACACACCCTTTCACTGTAAACTGGCCTGTCAATCATCTTGTCACAGAATGATGCATTTAAAAGTTAAAGACCAAACGGATGTTTATCGGATGGACACACTTATTAGCCTGCGTCTCAATGTTCATACTATCCATCCTAAATAGTATGTGAGATTAGAATAAGTGTGTCATAAAGCATAGTATGTTGAAAAGACGTCCCAATGTGCCTATACTACACCCTTAAAGTATGTACTTATTTTGGTGAAGAAAAGTACACACTTTTGCTAGCTATCACGTTATACAATTGCGTCTTTAACGAAGCACTCTGTGGCATAGTTACACACACCCTTTCACTGTAAACTGGCCTGTCAATCATCTTGTCACAGAATGATGCATTTAAAAGTTAAAGACCAAACGGATGTTTATCGGATGGACACACTTATTAGCCTGCGTCTCAATGTTCATACTATCCATCCTAAATAGTATGTGAGATTAGAATAAGTGTGTCATAAAGCATAGTATGTTGAAAAGACTAGGCCTATGCCAAAAGTCCCCGGATGGTCTACTATTTCAGGTCGATTTTTGAAATGTGGATCCGTGCACACTCTAATGGCTAATATTGCCCACAATCCATTGTGCTTTGCTTTGGCGAAAGATTCTGTTCAGAACTACAAACACGAATAAAACGCGTTTTAAAAAAACTACAAACATGGCGGATGTGCGCGACCGGCGGTTAGGTAGAGAGGCTTAGAAAAAGGGGTTTGAGTTACTAATATTCAACATTTACCCTGGTAAAAAATATTTATTTAATGTTATCGGTGTTATATTTCATCTGCAACAGCCATGTAAACTTTTATAAACATCCGTTTGGTCGTTATTAGCAGAGTTCTCGGCATGAAAAAAGACTAGGCCTATGCCAAAAGTCCCCGGATGGTCTACTATTTCAGGTCGATTTTTGAAATGTGGATCCGTGCACACTCTAATGGCTAATATTGCCCACAGTCCATTGTGCTTTGCTTTGGCGAAAGATTCTGTTCAGAACTACAAACACGAATAAAACGCGTTTAAAAAAACTACAAACATGGCGGATGTGCGCGACCGGTGGTTAGGTAGAGAGGCTTAGAAAAAGGGGTTTGAGTTACTAATATTCAACATTTACCCTGGTAAAAAATATTTATTTAATGTTATCGGTGTTATATTTCATCTGCAACAGCCATGTAAACTTTTATAAACATCCGTTTGGTCGTTATTAGCAGAGTTCTCGGCATGAAAGACCCGCAACTGGCAGATCAATGTGCTACTTCTTTTCTCTCCAATACAGTAGGAAGCTAAATGAAATGCAATGTGGAGGATATTAACTGTGACAAGATGATTGACAGGCCAGTTTACAGTGACAGGGTGCGTGTAACAGGTGCGACAGAGCGTCCATTAAAGACGCAGTTGTGTGATGTGACAGTATGTCCCAAAGCTTGCCTACTCTTCTACTACACACTCAAAAGTGTGTACTTTTTCTTCAACAAAAGAGTACATACTTTAAGGGCGTAGTATAAGTAGGCACATTGAGACACAGCAAATCGACCTGAAATAGTAGACCATCCGGGGACTTTTGGCATACTCTTTTCAACATACTGTGCTTTGGGACACTTATTCTAATCTCACATACTAATGAACATTGGGAAGCAGGGTAGGCCTATGCCTTTAAAATCCAATTTTTTAAAGGCAGATTAGTGCCATCTGGTGGGAGTAAATAAAGAAAAACATCTCAAATGTCATGGTTTAGCCACTAGATTCTAGAGCTCTATGTAAAAGGCGTATAAATTCTCTAGTTGTTTTTAGACGTAAATACTTTTTATTAAATTGTGGATTTGGATAAATAGTCATTCTCAAAGACAGCTTTTCGTAACGATTTGGATTTTTTTCTTTAAAATGTTGGTTTGAAATGTCAGTTTTTGCATTAATTTCACTAGTCAAACCTGAACACAAAGACATTTTGTTACAAATAACATCAAAATTCAACAAAAATGTAACAAAAATGAACAGGAATGCTTTATCAGAGGTTAATCAATCCGATTTCAGCCTGTCTTCTGGCTCAATTTTGCCATGTTGTTACAGCCACACCAGTTCATTTGTGTGTTTTGTACTCTTGACGTTTTAGAGTGTAACCCCTTCCTTGGTGCCTGTTTTTACTGCAATTGTGGCTGAATTTATTTTATTTCACACATTTGCAAAAACATGCTTTGCGTTACATTCACACTAGTTAATTTAAGTGTCTATTGTGCTCCCATTCTTGATATTTTAGTCACCCCTTCATTGTTGTGGAGTTTTTTTTTCTGCATCATGAATGATTTGTAGATTGTACACACAAAAATCTCTGTATTTTCGTATTTGTGCGTATTTCCAATAGTGCAAAATTTTTACGCAATCAACACAAGTGTGACAATTTTTTTTAATGTCCATTTAGCTTTTTCAAATCAAGTCCACGACTCACTTTTTTGTGTGTGTGGTCAGATAGCAATTGACATAAAAGTCATCGAGTTTCAAAAAAAAAAAATGTTCTGGTCTAAAATTACCGAACAACAGAGGTTTAATTAAACTGTCGCACTAGCAAGCACAGATCCACCCGGGAATAAAGATCATTTAAAATGAATCATAATACACCATCCAGACATCTGTGGAATACTCATTCCAAACATATTATGATTTCTAATTCTAATGTCAGGTAGGCCTAGTTTACTCTTTAGGGTATAAAGTATGCGGATTATGGCCCAACCAAATGTTATGTTTTAATAAGTAATTTATTTGTAAATGTAAAATATGTTGAATATGTAAACACAGGAAAGAAAACCATATTAGCAAATTATCTACAAAAAAATAATTAAAAGTTAGTGATGGGTTACTTGGATTGCTTTGGGTGGAGGAAATTAGAATTTAAGTACAAAGTGCATTTAAATTTGTTAAATGTACTGCAAGTGTGTTTAACAAACCATACATAAAATGACCATACTAGCGATTACTGAAATATCAAATCAACTACATTCTAATAAATTTGCAAAGCATTTAAATGTGCCCTGCCTGACATACTTACATTTTAGAACCTTTTAAATATCAAGTTATTTTAAAACATACAATTTAACCTACAAGTTAACTTGACCATGTATAAAACTTTCCAAACTCCCCGAAAACTTCAAAGAAAACACAAAGATTTTTATTATAATCACAGAGAATTTAATTGAACAATTGAAATGAACATATGTAGTGGCTTCAGGTCAATCATTAACAATAGCCTTCAGACACATTAAATGCTGGTTAAGCTTTTACCATACAAAGACCTTCTTTTGAAGACATTTTTTTTCCTTTAAACATAATTTTAAACCTATATGGCTTATGACTTCTCTATTTAGAAAAAAGTAATTAAAAAACGCACCTGTATATACACAAATACATATTTACATGTCTTGTTTTATTCTTAACTGTGAAGTTTTCCATATTTTTCTTTAAAATAGAACTGCAGGGAGAGTGCATGTTGTTCTGACAAAATTATCATCACATAAGAAGTACACCTGAAGATGTTATCAACATCAAGGCCTTGTAAATAAAAAGCATAAAATATTCAGCAAGAAAAGAGTACAAAAAAAGAGACCTTCAAGCGCAACATTCAAACCCATGCAAATTTAGAAAGAAAAAAATTGTCAGTCAACATTTAAGATGAATGACTTTCATGATGGGTTTTCAGATTCTTTAGACTTTGCCCTTGAGTTGTCAGATCTTTCTTTTTTGTCATCTTTCTTTTCTTTGCTCCTGCTTCTGTCCCGTCTGTCTCTGCCTCTGTCTTTGTCCCGTTCTCTGTCCCGATCTCTTCTGTCCCGATCTTTTCCACGTTCTCGTTCACGACTCCTTGAGCGTTCTCTTCTCCTGTCCCTGCTGTCTCGATCTCGGTCACGGTCTCTTTCTCTGTCTCTGTTCTTTGCTCTGTCTCGGTCATGGTCTTTTCGGTCTTGCTCCCTCTCCCTGCCACGGTCTCTGTCTCGATCTCGGTCTCTCCTCTTGTCTCCATCTCCATCTCTGTATCGGTCAGACTCTCTGCCTCTACTGCGATCCCTCTCTCTACTGTGTTCGCTCTCCCTTTCCCTGCTGCGGCCGCGCTCCCGCTCCTTATCTCTTTCTCTGCTCCGGTCTCTTTCACGATCCTTTTCTCTACCTCGGTCATACTCATGCTCCCTGTTCCAGCCCCATGATCGTCCACCATGTCCACCTTCTCGATCTCGGTCTCTCCTCCTATCTTCAGACAAATCGCGCTGTCTCTCTTCAGATAACCTTGAGGAGGCATCTCTATCACGGGAACCACCATCAAATCTACTCGGACGGTTATGTGGCTCTGAACTATCTCTGGTGGAACAGCTTCGCCTCCTCATTTCAGGGGAGTGCCGTCTCCAGTGGTCATCACGGTGGCTGTCTGGGCTGTGTCCACCTATACGGCCTTGTATTGGTATGGGACCTTCAGAAGGTGTCGGAAGCAGAGGTCCACGAACAGGTCTAACATCTCGAACATCACTTGGGGTATCATCGTTGTAGTTAAATCGTGCTGGCTGACCAACAGGTTCCTTATCGTAATGTCCTGGTGGTGGACCTCTCAGGCCACCAAACTGCTGCACTGATGGTCCCCGGTGCTTTTCAAAATCTTGAGATGAAGTTCCCCGTGGTTCCTCAAATGATCCCCTGTGTTGAGGTGAACCACGAAATTGGTTTGGAGGTGGAAATTGCTGTCCCGACATTTCACCTGAAGGTCCAGGGGGTCCTCTTCGTCCATCAAAGTGGTTTGGCAGTGGTACCCTAAAAGGAGGCCCTTGTGAAGGTATCTGGGGCTTCTCCATTCTCTGATGATATGAGTTTCCACCATCTTCAAATTGATCACCAGGCCCTCTTGACATATTAGATGGAGGGCCACGATCCCCAATGTTATGAAGTGGAGGTGGGCCTCTTGGCCCAGGGACGTGGGATGGTGGTGGTGCTCTATTATCAAAGTGATTTGGAGGGGGACCAGGAAATGGTGGAGGTGGGCCCCTGGGTGCAGAGAAGTTAAAAGGGGGTGGAGGCCCATTAAACCTTTGTCCATCGAAGCTGGGAGGTGGCCTGGGTGGTGGGGGCCCTGGAGGTGGGCCTCTTGGTCCGATATGCTGGGGGGGCAATGAATTCATGGAATTATCAAATATCTGATGAGGAGGACCTCTCTGACCCATTGGTTGGAATGGAGATGGTCCTCTTGGTGTAAAATTTGTAGGCAGTGGACCTCTTGGAGCAGCATCAAACTGAGAACTGCTACCCCACTGATTCTGGAAAGGTGGATACGATCCAGGTGGTGGATACTGAGAATGATCATTATCCACAAGGGGAGGAAGTGGACCTTGCATTGGGGGAATCTGCATTGGAGGTGGTCCTGACATTGAAGGAGGGAGATGCATGGGTGGTGGAACGGCGATTGGTGGTGGGCCTTGCATGGGAGGTGGACCAAGAATAGGTGGTGGAAAAGACATTGGAGGTGTAATGTTAGGGTTTGTTGTTGGTATGTGCTGTATATGGGAACTGTGAGAATCCATATAAGATGAGTTGTCTTGGATGACATCTTGTGGCACTCCTGAGTGTAAAGATGTAGATGAAGTACTGATTGTTGAAATGTTATAATATGTGGTTGTAGTGGTCTCAATAGGATGCCCAATGGATGAAACTTGATCAGCTTTTAAAATACTGGCAGAATTTGGCCAAACCTCCTCAAAACTTTTGATCTCAGATTCAATAGGGTCACCCTTCGTTTTGGGTTCCTCTTCAATGTAGCTTTCAACTAACTCTGGGTCAATTTTTTCCCCTAGTAACGGAATAGAAACTTCTGTGCTCTTTGTATCAAGAAAAGGCACCTCTTCGCTCTCGCTTCCTTCCTCACTCTCGCCCCTTTCCTCAGATTTGGATGCTTCTGGGTCCAGGATGGCAGACTGCACTGAATCTAAGGTGGCAGTAACTTGTGACAGGGGCATATCTGTGGTTGCAGAGGGTTCCTCTACTGATGTATCCTCGGTAGAGTCTAGCTGTGCAATCTGTGTGTCTGCAACTGTGCATGCTTGTGTTGGTGATGTTTCTGTCACTGTACCTTGGTTTGGAGAGGTTTTGTCTGTGGTAAGAGAAGATTCCTCCTCTGCTTCTGTGGAAACAGACGTCTGTCTTCTACTAATAACTGCCTGTCTAGGGTCTCTACTCTGCCTTGGGTCTCTTCTCTGGTTAATAACTGGAGCGGCTGAAGTCTTTGCCACCAACTCTTCAACCTTTTTACCAAGCTGCAGCAGTTGACTGTTAGCCAACAGAGATGTAACAGGCTGAGAAATCAAAGTATCTGGTATTTGTTGATGAACTGGTTCCTCGTGCTTCTGTTCCTCAATCTGTTTTTCTTCAAGCACCTTTTGATGTTCAGTTAATTTCTTAGTACTTGGATCAACCCCAACATCATCAAAAAGAGAGTCATCCTCAGGGTCATAAGCTACATCATCCATCACAGGGGTGACCTCTGCTTGCTTAACTGCAGCAGATACTTTGGTTGTATCATGGGTATTTTCTGTACCATAGCCAACAGCTGGGTCATATTCTTCCTCAGGATCATACGGTCTATCATCCTGTACTTCTACCTCTTTACCCTTGGTTATTGCAAACTGCTGTACAATTGGATCAAACAGGGACACAGAAGGCAAAGCGACATCTACAGCACTTTGATCTGAAGGTGATAACGAGACATCAGAATCCTGCTTCTTCTGACCAAAAAGTGTTTTCAGGATAGTCTGAAGTGGTGTGGAAGAAGCTGTAGATGCTGCTGAGACATTGGAGGATGGAGAATTGCTGCCTGTGCTAGTACTGACACCAGGTGCTTTCACAGAGGACAGTATCGAAAACACAGATGAGACCGAACTTGAAGACTCTGAGGCACTTAGAGGTGGAGGGGTGCCTGGGGGAGTTGTGCTTATGGCATCCAGACTAGATCGAAGAACTTTGTCCTGTTTTATTTCAGATTTACCAGTAGTGGATGGTTTTGGGAGGCCCGTTTCATCATCTCTTAGAGTTTTAGAACGTTTTTCCTCATTCTCTAGAGGGGCTCCAGGACGCTTCTTGTCCTTCTGGCATATTAACAACCCCAGGAGGAGATTGGGACGAGCTGGTTCCAGCCCTGCAAAAAAAATAAAATACGAACCATCATTTCACAAATAATGATCTACATATTCTTCTAATACATACTATAACACCTACATAATAGGTAAGAAATATACACTAGGAGAGCTTGTTCCACATTATACAAACTGGTAACTAAAATCTTACCAACACACAATTATTTTTTGTATTTATGTGCCAACTAAATTACCCTCATAATGTACACATTTAACAAGCAAACAATCATTTAATATTGGCAAACTAGATTACCACAAAATAATTATTTTAAGCATAAATGTTCCCTTACACACAATAAAACCACTTAATTATATAAAGTTCTAGATATAGCAGCATTTAATTAATGACAACACTACTCATGTTTGTTCCTCTAGAAAACCTATGGCAATAATTTCAATCAAGTAAATTTTATGCAACAATATTATATAATAATATTCAGCAAAGTTATATTACATTTTTAGTTATTTAACATTTTTAAGCACTTGTTCTTACAATGAAATATGAACCTGAAAAAATAAGGCTAGGACACAAATATCTAGGACATCAAACTTGGATTCATTATATATTTTATTAGACTGTCTTCAAATACATGACAACTTGTAGACAAAAATAAGACAAGTCACAAATAAGTATACAAACAACTTTGTCTTGAACAAGCTCGTATTGTACTGTAGCACATTTGACATGGCCATGGTTTGTTCTCCTTTTTTTAAATTGTGGAACAAGCTTTCCATTCACAGAATAGTTAAATACAAACAGGACTTAAATAATAATACTTGATGTTAACATCAAAAATGGCTTTTTTTTGTCTGGGGAAAACACTAAGATGATTCTTTATAGAGACTTTATAATATCTTTGTATATGCTTACCTGGTCCATCAAATGGCAGAAGCTTAGCAGGAAGTGGGTCTTTTGAGCTCAGAGGGATGAGGTAAAGGTCTTTAATGCGCTTGTTGCTGTTTGCCACTACTCCAAACCGCTTACGGCTACTGAAATAAGAAAACAGAGACACATACGCCACCTCCTCCTCTTCAGTTGCTGGATGGAAACGAATGAGACTGAGTTCCTGAAAAAAATAACATTTAAGCATTAGAAAACAGCAATCAGATGAATGAAGTACAGTTTATACTGGTTTGATTTTATAAGTTTGATTCTAGTGCATATGAAATGTTTTTTATTTTCATACTTTTGACAGTGAAGTCTTCAACTTTCCCACATAATCCCATACAGTGTGTGGTGATATTCTACCACCAATATGAATAGTATCAGGCAAGTCCTGCAAATAAAATAAAAACAGTTAAAATGAAACGGTAATATGAACCCAACATTCTAATATTAAGACCTTTTAAGAAAATACTTGCAAAACAAACCTCTTTAATATGCTCAAATGATCCTGACACCAAGTAGGCTTTCGTGACAAACTTGGCAACAGAGTGCATGTTTATGAATCCTTTCCACATCATCTCTTGTCCAGACAAGAACAAAGCGGTTTCACCCTCAGGAGGGGGCTCTGACATACTGAAAAAAAAAATTACAAATATTGCTACATATTAAGGCAGGAAGACATTTTACATTAAATAAAATTATACAGTGGGTACGGAAAGTATTCAGACCCCCTTAAATTGTTCACTCTTTGTTATATTGCAGCCATTTGCTAAAATCATTTAAGTTAATTTTTTTTCCTCATTAATGTACACACAGCACCCCATATTGACAGAAAAACACAGAATTGTTGACATTTATGCAGATTTATTAAAAAAGAAAAACTGAAATATCACATGGTCCTAAGTATTCAGACCCTTTGCTCAGTATTTAGTAGAAGCACCCTTTTGAACTAATACAGCCATGAGTCTTTTTGGGAAAGAGGCAACAAGTTTTTCACACCTGGATTTAGGGATCCTCTGCCATTCCTCCTTGCAGAGCCTCTCCAGTTCTGTCAGGTTGGATAGTAAACGTTGGTGGACAGCCATTTTTAGGTCTCTCCAGAGATGCTCAATTGGGTTTAAGTCAGGGCTCTGGCTGGGCCATTCAAGAACAGTCACAGAGTTGTTGTGAAGCCACTCCTTCATTATTTTAGCTGTGTGCTTAGGGTCATTGTCTTGTTGGAAGATAAACCTTCGGCCCAGTCTGAGGTCCTGAGCACTCGAGAAGGTTTTCGTCCAGGATATCCCTGTACTTGGCCACATTCATCTTTCCCTCGATTGCAACCAGTCGTCCTGTCCCTGCAGCTGAAAAACACCCCCACAGCATGATGCCGCCACCACCATGCTTCACTGTTGGGACTGTATTGGACAGGTGATGAGCAGTGCCTGGTTTTGACACAAATATCTAGGACATAAAACTTGGATTCATTATATATTTTATTAGACTGTCTTCAAATACATGACAACTTGTAGACAAAAATAAGACAAGTCACAAATAAGTATACAAACAACTTTGTCTTGAACAAGCTCGTATTGTACTGTAGCACATTTGACATGGCCATGGTTTGTTCTCCTTTTTTTAAATTGTGGAACAAGCTTTCCATTCACAGAATAGTTAAATACAAACAGGACTTAAATAATAATACTTACTTGATGTTAACATCAAAAATGGCTTTTTTTTGTCTGGGGAAAACACTAAGATGATTTTTTATAGAGACTTTATAATATCTTTGTATATGCTTACCTGGTCCATCAAATGGCAGAAGCTTAGCAGGAAGTGGGTCTTTTGAGCTCAGAGGGATGAGGTAAAGGTCTTTAATGCGCTTGTTGCTGTTTGCCACTACTCCAAACCGCTTACGGCTACTGAAATAAGAAAACAGAGACACATACGCCACCTCCTCCTCTTCAGTTGCTGGATGGAAACGAATGAGACTGAGTTCCTGAAAAAAATAACATTTAAGCATTAGAAAACAGCAATCAGATGAATGAAGTACAGTTTATACTGGTTTGATTTTATAAGTTTGATTCTAGTGCATATGAAATGTTTTTTATTTTCATACTTTTGACAGTGAAGTCTTCAACTTTCCCACATAATCCCATACAGTGTGTGGTGATATTCTACCACCAATATGAATAGTATCAGGCAAGTCCTGCAAATAAAATAAAAACAGTTAAAATGAAACGGTAATATGAACCCAACATTCTAATATTAAGACCTTTTAAGAAAATACTTGCAAAACAAACCTCTTTAATATGCTCAAATGATCCTGACACCAAGTAGGCTTTCGTGACAAACTTGGCAACAGAGTGCATGTTTATGAATCCTTTCCACATCATCTCTTGTCCAGACAAGAACAAAGCGGTTTCACCCTCAGGAGGGGGCTCTGACATACTGAAAAAAAAAAATTACAAATATTGCTACATATTAAGGCAGGAAGACATTTTACATTAAATAAAATTATACAGTGGGTACGGAAAGTATTCAGACCCCCTTAAATTGTTCACTCTTTGTTATATTGCAGCCATTTGCTAAAATCATTTAAGTTAATTTTTTTTCCTCATTAATGTACACACAGCACCCCATATTGACAGAAAAACACAGAATTGTTGACATTTATGCAGATTTATTAAAAAAGAAAAACTGAAATATCACATGGTCCTAAGTATTCAGACCCTTTGCTCAGTATTTAGTAGAAGCACCCTTTTGAACTAATACAGCCATGAGTCTTTTCATAAGAGGCCGTTTTTGGGATCACAGGTCTCGGTATAGATGCTGGGGCAGGAGGGGGCATAGGCAAAGGACCCTTTGCTTCTACAACCACTGGTTCAACAGAGATAGGAATATTTGCTGGCATAGCAGGAATAACAACATCAGGAACTATCTGGGGCACAGATGAACGGTGGCCAGCAGTACGAGGATCCCTTCGAGTTATTGTAACAGAAGAGACTGCAGGTACAGCAGCAGTGACTGGGGCCTGAACCACAGGAAATACACTGCTTGGATCCTCCATTACAGCTGCAGAATCAGGCATGGGCGTCTCAGGACCAGAAAGAGAGGAAACTTGAGGAAGATCAGCAGGAGATTTGGATGGTCTTGACTCTAATTTAGACTTAAAAGAGTGCTCTGGCTTTTTAGGTGCAGACATTTTGTTTTTTTTAGATGGTGGTTCATCATCTGCCAACTTCTGGCCTGAAAAATGAGCAACATGTAATTTAATTATTTAGCTATTAGAAAAATCATAGGTGTATGTACAACCAGTAAGAGACACTTTCCAACAGGTCTTAAGGGTATGTGGCTTTTTATTGTGGTAATAAAAGTCCCACCTGTACAGATCTTGCAGTTCAGGTCAAAGAGATGAGCCCTGTGCTCTGCTGTAGTGTCTTTCAGCATACTACTAAAGATATCTGGCATTGAACTGCTTTTCCCAGTAGAGACTGGGGCTTGTGACACAGAAGTAGGTCGTGCTTCCTCCTGGGAGTCCTGCTCAAAAAACAACATTGGACAAACATAGAAGGAAAGGATCAATAAACAACCTTTTTTTTAATAACTTTCTCATCCATTTATGCATACATGTTTATATGCACCCATGTAAAAGAAAAAAAAATTAAGATGAGAAAGGTGGCAGGTATGAGAACAAATTCAGCAAGTCACTTTGGGAAACTGAAATGACAGTGATACAGATACAGAGGTGTGTGGAAGATTAGACAGATCCGGAAAGCAAGAAAGCCAGAACTTACAGCACCAGAAGCCAAGTGGGGAGACTGGGAAGTGGCAGGCATACATACATCTCCATCAGACATAGGAGGAGGAGCCTCCTCCATGTCCACATCTGGGGGAGCACCCTCCTGTCTAGATCCACTTTTGGGCTGTCCTGACTGGGATCTCCCACTCATATCCAGACTCTTTAAGAATAAGTACATAATTTAATCAAACAGTACGGGCATAGTATCACAGCACCACAGTTACCGGAGTTTAAACAAACAATTTCCAACTTGTTTTACCTCAGAGATCTCAGATTTTCTCCAGTCTGACATCTCCCTGGAAAGAAGTTCTTCTGGACTCAGTCTCACCAGCCTGAAAGGACTGATCTCGCCACGAACCACGCGATAGAACAGGCCCTGCCACACAAATAAGTCAAATAATCATCTCTCTGCATTGTTAGATTTCATAAAGCTACTAAAATGCACATTTCAGTACAATATAATGGTCTCTGACATAAACATAATGACTAACCTTGTTTTTGGGGTCCTTTAGATTGAACATAAGGGACCTGTACTTGTTCTTGTACTTGTTATCAGTGTTCATATAAAGGTTAAACATCTCTTTCTCAATGCCGACAGCCAACTTTCCCACTTCGTTCTCAGACATTGAGAGATCATCACTGTCACTGACCCTGTGGCACAATGATGAATTTAAATTCATATTTCAGTTCAAATAAAAATAATTTTAGATTTCAATTGCACGATTTTGAAGAATGTATAAAATGCAAAAAAATTCATCTTAATTCATTTCCATCTTAATGTGTATTTATTTTTACCATAAAGTTTGATATTAAAAGATACCATATTGCTTCATGAAAAAAAATTAGCAAATCAAAGTAAATGCAATACCTCTTAAAACATCTCTCACCTTTTATACAAGATATCAGTTAGTGATCGTCTGATGTTGGATCTCATCTGGTTGTTGGGTGGTGGCTGTGAAGGAGCAGCAGCTGCGATGGCTTGGGTTGGTTTAGGTGCTGAGTGCTGGATGGATGACCCTGGTGAAGGTGGGGTTCTAGTGGTGGGAGAGGGACCAGGCTCTGCAGAGTCCTTTTGCCCTGCCTGTGGCTGCTTTTTTGGGATAGTAAAGGTGCTCTTGCCCACACGGAGCGCTCCAGTGGCATGGTGGCGAGATCCGGGGAGGCCTGAAGGTGATAAAACCGGAATTGGTGGTGGGGGAGGTCCTGGCTTTTTTGATTTGCCCTGTATGGGTATGGGCTGTTTCCTTAACTCTCTTCCACTGTTCAAAGGTGCTGCAGTCGCTTTGGCTTTGGGAAGAGGCGAGGTGGCAGCAGCTGCCTTCGTCCCCTTGTAGCCAGGAGACTTCTTCCCTCCTTTGGGAGCAATATTTGATGCAGGAGGTTTCTTGTCAGCGGAAGCCGTTTCCTTCTCTGGCTTGACTTCCTCATTGTCCTCCTTTTCTTTGTCTTTTTGGGCAGCTGCTGAAAAACAGAAGGAATAAACTGATTTATGAACACAGAAATTAAATAGCAAATCAAACCCAAGTACAAAGTGCAAAGAGTAAAATGTTACAATTCACAATATGAATTTGAAGTATTGTGAAATGCTCAATTGTAGACTAGTGCCTTGCCTTGACTGTAGTGACTTTCTCAAGTTACTGAATATGAAGACCACCATTTCCAGTTAAATAGGCTCAAAGAAACAAACAAGAAAATGTTTAACACGTAAGCTTTATTTAAGAAAACATTGTCTTAAAATCATATTCAAGCCAGTACCTAAGGCTACTTGACTCATAGACCAGTCAGCTGTATTTGCATACATATTACTCATCACAACAATCACTGTGACACAAGTGATTTAGTATAACTATTTTTCCAACTAACTGGAGCAGCTATTAGTAAAATATTAAAGTAAAGATAAAAATATAAGGAGAATGTGAAGGGTTCATAGCACAAACTTTTCAGTTATTAAGTGAGGGCTCGATTTTGGAGGCAAAATTAGATTGACTACTGCCTTGTTTTAATTATTTTGTCAGGATGTACATCTCTAACCCAATTAAATCCCTTGGGGAAAAGTCTGAAAAAATTATATTAAAATGCTGATAGTACTGTCAACAAGCAACAATATAGCACATTAGGTATATAAAGCACAAACATCCTGATGTAATAATTAATGGGAATAGTATACAATAATTTTATAAAGGAACAGCTACAGGGAGGGAAAAAATCATTTCAATATTTAATATGAAGTTTACAGATCTAGTCAAGTGTATAATCACTGCACAATAACTAAACTCTCAATAACCGGATCTCAGCTCTCTTGTATTACAGAAATGCATCTTTAAAAAGCACTTCCAAGAGCAGGTACACGGTGTACAACAGAGCATCAATGTAATCCCACTCATGTGTTACCAACATCAGAGACATTTCTGTATATCTTGATCAACACAACACAAACAACCCTAGGCAACCTTATGTACACGAATGCCACATTTAAAAGGCTAAAAACCATATGAAAAATGCTGCTGGGACCCAACACAAAAATTGGCATTCATTTTGATTTTCCATTTCATTATTTTCTGGTATCAAACAAATGCCCCACATTAAGCTTAAAGTATCTTTTTTTTCTTTCTTTCTTTGTTTTTGCATATGATAAACAGAAAACTTTACAATAGTCAACCATTCCAAGGCACAAAACTCATGCTCTAAATGCAATCTCTGCATCAAATCAACTGCACTGAGCCTTCAAACAGGTACACTATGCTCTCAATATGTAATCTGTTCATATTTAAATATTAAATAAGACCAGCGTATCAACATTGGTCTACATTCTGTGTGTATGTATAAACACAGCTTGACTTTTCCGTGTGCTGCAGTTATGAGGCGTGTGAATTCTGCTGTGGGGTGACATGACGTCCTCAGCTGTTCTTCATTACGGTTCCTCATTACTTCAGCTCACTCTCTGGGCACTTGGACTTTTCTGAAAGGTCACAGTTCTTCTCTCAGGCCAGCTCCAACGACTGTAGGCTTCTTTTTGTAAATCATTGTGAGACATTTAGCAGATGGCTGGCAAAAACCAAAAACAGGCAGAAGTCATGCCATCCCATGTTGTCATCCAATAAACAGACTTCTCTCACAATTGAAGCACAGGGCCAGAAGAGTATTATCCGCAATTTCACTTTATTTTGAATGCCACTTTCTCCAATGAGCATTTATAAATGCAGTGCATGCAAGTCAAAGGAATATCAAATTAAAAACTGTTAGTTAAAACGTTACATGACTTCATTTATAACAGCACCGTAGTCAAACGTCCATGTGATCAAAGTTGTTCTATTCTTAGTCGGGGAAGGAGGGCAGGAGAAAAAGACACCAAACCTACCTGATCAGCTGTGCAGTCAGTACATCTTTTCGGATGAAGCTTTTGCCCCGATGATGGCAGGGATTGGAGATAAATGGCAATGGTATTCCATTCATTGAGAGACTCAAAATAACACGCATATATACTTTGTAGATGTTGGTCAGAAAGCTTTACAAAAGTGTATCATGGCAAGGCACTACAGTCTGGGCTCAGATCCTTAGGATCTATATTTTTAGATCACTTATTAGGTGCAAAACTACATTTATTCAAAATAAGTAGATTAAATACTTAGTTACAGACCGTAAAGTATAGTCTTTATGCATTTTAGATGTTAAATACTTACCATTTTGATATTATTTAAACTTACCTGTTCTGGAGCTCTGAATGACCTGATACAGATACTTTCCAAATATTAGCATCTCGCAGTGTTGCATAAAAACACTGACAAAATATTTCAAGATGTAGCACGGGGTGTCCAACTTAGAAAACTCATAATTATAGCTGTGCTAACATTTTCCAGCACTAATATCCCTTTAAAGGCACAATTTAAATCCAATTTTCACCAGAAAAAAGCTGCTTTTTTTAATTTGTGAATCTGTTGTTCTTGACAGTTCAACATGCCCATCATTGGTAGAGACAGGTCAAAAAAATGTGGAAAACCCTCAGAGAGATACATACACGTTTTGTTTAACACAGATGCTGATATGGGTGTAGTCTTTTCTGGCGATACTGCAATGTAATTATGGTCACTGGACCAGGATGACATGGCTGGTGGCGGCGGATGCTCCTCTGCATGCTTGTCTTCATCATCGTCATCAAATTCCTCAGTCCCAGATTCTGACTCCTCTTCCCCTTGGTTAGAGGACCTCCTTTCCGGGCCAGAACTCCTCTATAGTCAAGAACAGAAAGCATTGTTAGCATATACAGATTTAAATGTCCTAGCATCATAAAGAAGGAGCTGATACCATACCCGTCTTCCTGATTTATTATGCCCCTGAATTAGCAACTACTGAACATCTTTTTCCATTACACCTAAACACCAATTTAAGCGTATCCTCCCAGAACAATAATTTAGCCATAATCCATTGTATATATGTATATATCTAATCTATATATCTAATCTATCTATATAATCTATCTATCTATATATATATATATCCTATTTTTTTTTTATATGAACATATAGCAAACAATTTACTACCATTAAAGCCTTAATAAAAAGAATATATGATTATTACAAGGTGCCTATGAATAATACCTTATTTGGTGATTTATTTGAGGTCTTTTTCTGCGCCTTGGGCCTGACCCTCTCTTTCAGTTTGGAGCCTTTTCCATCCGTGGTGATGGTCTTCATGGCAGCAGCGGCATGTCTGAGTATGCAGTCATTCCCACAGTAGACTGAGTCAGGGAGCGCATCTCTCTCACAGCCAGGGCCGATGCACTTTGGGAGGGAAGATCCTTCGACTGCAGTCACCTGCTGAAAACTCAGGGATGTCAAACCGCTGTGGCCATTAGATTACAGCAACAGATCTACACCTTATGTACTGTATATTGCTTCCTTTTTTTAAAAGAATGGCAAGCAGCACAGTAGGCATTTTTGCACTATCAACTTTAAAAACAGTAATATGCTACAGTCACGTTACCTTATCAAATGTCATCCAGGAGAAAATGCTTATTTAAATGAAAGTGTCTTAATTTTGTGGCCTGATCAAATAAGATTTCGGCTAATACTACTTCCAATGTCATCCATGGCACTGCACTGGGAATCCATTATTCAAATGCAGAAAGATGTGTTCTATACGGCACATTGTAGTGACACTAGTAGCGTATCTAGGTATTCTACAAATACAGAATATTCACAAGTCCACAGTATGTATATTATATACTGTAGCATTAGCAAGAGTAGCATGCTAGTATGCTAATCCAAATAGTCAGACTCTGACTTTACAAGGTTCTCATCTGCTGAAAAATCAATTACTTTGAACATGGATTTTTGACATGAAGGACAAATGCAGTACAATTTAACAATTCAAATAAAAGAAAGGAATTGAGTGACACTTGTAAACAGATATGTCAAAAAATAGCTAATATTATGACACCAAATAACTTCGAATTCATTTTATAGGATTTAGTCTTAGCATATTTTTTATTTAAAATTTTGAGATTTTATTTTAAGAGGGGCTCATTTATAGCCACCTTTTAGTTTTATTGTTAAAGAGGCACTCACCATGTTTTTTTTTCTCTTGAATGACCATACCTTAACATCATAATCAGATAACTTTATGAGGTGATTTGGCAACAAACTCCCATTATGTTAGCAGAAAAGGTACTCAATTGAGAAAAATACCCAATAATGACATGAAACCCAATAAAAACATTTTACATGCTTTAAAATGGCACTACATAGTAGGGCTGCACGATTAACTGAATGCGATTGTCATGCGCATCTTGTCAGTAAAGCCGGTTCTGTAATCAGTAGTAAATCTCCATCACGTGCTTTCAGATGGAGCAGCATTTACTACACAGAGCCGTAGTTCACGGACAAGCTACACAAAATCGCATTCATAACCGCAGACGATTTAATCGCATGATAATGAAATCAAAGAAATTGTTCTGCAATTATGAAAGCTATTTGCATAGCTTGTCAGTAAACTACAGCTCTGTGTAGTAAATGCTGTTCCATCTGAAAGCAAATGAAGAGACCACATTTAAAAACATGTTTTTACTCCAAAATCACTGCATAACGTCAGTTGAGTGTTTGAAATAAATCCTTCTGTGAGATGACGTGGCTTCTTACACAGAATAAGGCACGCAACATATTTCATATGATTCTAAGCAGTGATAAAGGCTATGTTGATTAGCATTGCATTATTATATACTTTATTATAATACAAGTTATAAGACGAACTCAGATAAACCATATATTGTCATAGTCGTGTGTTTATTAGTCACGTTGAATCAATGAAAGCAGTTAAATCTTCTGTTTATTCAGCAACCGCTATAGGGATTTCCTGATTTCTTCTGCAAGGCGTATTTGGAGTTTCCGCGCGAGAGCGCCCTCTGGCCTTCGGATGGAGATTTACTACTGAGCACAGAACCGTGCTTCCCTGAAAGATACGCATGACAATCGCAGCTTCTGCCAAATCATGATTTTTTCACCTTTCCGATTTAAAGGTCCTATATTGTACACCTTTCTGGAGTTTTATTTGAGGTTTTGATGTCCTTAAGAATATATATTTGCGGTATAAGTACCAAAAACCATCTCAATATATTTTTACAGCTCCTTTCTCAGGACCTCTGCTGAGAACATGTCGATTTTGGTCTGTAATTAATATTCATGAGCCTCTCTTCTGATTGGCCTGTTGTTTTCTGAGTGACACATGGCCAGGCCAACCACAGGTAACTAAGGTTAGCAATGTCACAGCGCTAGCTGGAGGCAGCAAAACAAAGGGGAAACCGGAGGCGGCCCATTCAAACCAGTGCAGGTTCGGCTGCATGAACTTAAAATATCATCTTGTTGTGATGTTGGGTGCCAGAATCGAAATACAGCCTCAAATTAGAAATTTGATCGCATATCTGCTACCACTGCCAGACAAAAAAAAATACGACAGCTGTGGTTAAACACAATAAAACGAGCAGACTGGACAGAAAGGATCGTCAAAAATGCTCACGTTTGCAGCGCACACTTCTTATCAGAAAAGGTTCAATAAAGTATTGTCTTTTGTTGTTATGGGCGCTTCTACAGATTTCTTGCCATATGTCTATGTTTCTTGCATCTCACGACTATGTCGTGTATGAAATAATGTCTGTGTGCATGTGTATAAAACAACAAACTGTCGATTTAGATATAATCATTTGTAATTGTATATACATTGTTGTGATTAATTGTGGCTGGAACAATAATGTAGCTGTAAAAATAGTTTCCTGCTGAAATTGAAATGTATATACATCTTCATCATGACTAGATAGACATGGTTTGTCTTTAATAATTTCAGTTTTGACAATATGGGACCTTTAATTTCGAATTATCGTGCAGCCCTACTAAAAAGCATGGTTCTCAGATATTATTACGGGGTTTGGCAAAAGGAGAGTGGGACTGTGGGCGGTGTTCGGGGTGGTGACTGAAGGCAGTGACTGTGTAGTTCTGACGTCAACGTTTTACGGAAGTCACAACGGTTCGTGAAAAATAGCTAGAACTTTAAGCAGGCTGTGTGAATTTGACTGTGGACTGACCGTTTTGAAACTTATATGGTAGTTAAATAGCCCCTAGACCTCAGTAATCTTGAAAAAAGCCAGGAAATTTCAGTTTTGACAATATGGGACCTTTAATTTCGAATTATCGTGCAGCCCTACTAAAAAGCATGGTTCTCAGATATTATTACTACCAAAAATTATGACAACTCCTGATATTTGTCTAACATTAGCCAAATTATTAGTGGTCAAAACAAGATAATCATAATAATACTGTACAATAAAACATTAGTAAAAACACCAAAATATGACAGCCTTAAAATTAGCAGCCAATTAATGCCCATCAAATTTGAAAGTTAAAAGAAAAAAAAAAGTAATCAAATATGAATAATCTGAATCAGATATTGATGTTGTAATTTAAATTACATTAAGATCAAATTAAGCATTCAAGCAATGTGTCACAGACAATAAAATAATCCTAAATAAGGTAATCCTGTAAGAAAAGCTGTCAAAATTCACGCACGGAGGCACAGCGTCAAAAACTGAATCCAAAACGAACAGGATGATTTCCTCAATCCCATGAAATTACATGTAAACAAAATTGTAGCATTCAAACTTGTTTCATACAGAGACATACCGGCTGGAAAATCTTTATTTTCTTTTTTCCACTAGGATTGGTAGCCTTCTCGATCCTGCCCTTGATGCCCAGGTCATCAGAAGTTTTCTCCTCTGTGGTGGCTGCAGCAGTGCTAGATGGTGTAGCAAGACCAGTCTCACTTTTACGAAGGCCAGCTGCTGGCCGTTTGCCATTCTCTGCAGCTGCTGTGGAGGAACCAGCCTTGGAAAACTGTCCCTTCTGTGTGTAGCAGTTTGGACAGACATAGTCCTCTCCATTTCTCTCCATCAGTCGGCCACGTGCCTCAGAGATGCCAACGCAGTTGCCATGAAACCACTCCTCACAGCGATCACAGCAGATCATAAACCTATGCACAAGGATTTAAAAAATAACCAAACACCCTCAATAATCATTAAACCCACAAAAGATATAAAACTTCTGCTGACAAAAATAAAATGCAATGGACAATTTCTGCTTTGAACAAAAACTTTTTGCATAGCGCCTGATGAGGACAGTATAACATTCACCACGCATTGAACTGACAATTATAACAAAGATTACGAATGTACCCATTTGGAAATGTGTTATCAAAACCAATACTCAATTTCACATTTTAACTCATTCATCATAGGATTAAAACCCTTTCTAGCTAATTAATGAAAACAAATAAGCTTAGAGTCTGAATCCTCACTGCTGATATATTATGAAACGAAGTCATAATAGAAATCAACAAAAACAATGCAATTCAAAAAGCATAGATCATTGGAAATGTCTGTATACTACAATGCAGCACACATATGTGCTTCACTCACAGATTGAACTATATCTACTGTGTGAAAACTCTCAGATGCAAAAGTAAATCAAAAACATCTCATTGTTGTCATATTCACACTTATATTTCATGATTTATGGAAAATGGCAGTTACTTACAGCAGATTAAGAATAAATTGAGCCCAAACTCAATGTAACCTGGTGCAGATCTTAAAATAACCCTCACAGAGAAACATCATACAGCTAAAAATACTTTATCTTTCCAAGTCACACTTACACTCTCATAAGCCAGTTCTATCAAACCTTTACAATTAATCCAGAACGCGGCAGCAAGATTAATTTTTAATGAGCCAAAAAGAATCCACATCACACCTCTGTTTATCAATTTGCACTGGCTACCAGTAGCTGCTCGCATAAAATTCAAGGCATTGATGTTTGCCTACAAAACCACCACTGGCTCTGCACCCCTTTACCTAAATTCATTACTTCAGAATTATGTGCCCTCTAGAAGCTTGCGTTCTGCAAGTGAACGTCGCTTTATTGTGCCATCCCAAAGAAGCACAAAATCACTTTTACGGTCTTTTAAATGTTCCTTCCTGGTGGAATGACCTGCCCAACTCAATCCTTAGCCATCTTCAAGAATCGGCTAAAAACACATCTTCTTCCATCTTTATTTGACTCTCTAACTCTAGCACTCTATTCTAATTCTATTCTTTAAAAAAAACATTTTAATTGATATGGTGACACCACATTCTGAAAAATTATTGTAAAAAAAGGTTTTAGCCATTTAATATTTTCCAGTGCCTGCCCAGAACAGATAAAGAGACTCTTAAATCTCAGTGATTACATCCCGTTTCAGCCATTTCCCAATTTGAAACCCTGATTGGAGTGAATCCCACGGCTCTCTTGTATGTAGTGTAGTGGAGTGGGCCGTGGGTACCTTGTGAGCTGGTATCCACAGGATCCTGGCTGAGCTCAGGCTCTGGGGCTTGAGCCAGCTCAGGGCTCACACTCTCCTCCATAGCAGAGACACACTATTTTTCAAACAGAATATCTATAATTAAGAAACAAGAGAGATTTAATGGACAGCACAACTCCCAAATATTACTACAAATTTCGAAGCGCATAGTTTTCTCAGCTGAAGTCATGTGGCTTCCCGGTAGAAAGTGCCAGTGTGTCTTTTTTCCTATGGGTGCATCATGCATTTAGTAAATTGTGTCTATAGGGCATATAAATAGGATTTAACATGCTTGAAAGTGCTCCATCCCTGATTTATTGCATTCAGAGTTCTGTGTCAAATCAAAATACACTGTACAATTTAAGAATGTGTGAAAGATTGTCTAAACTGTTTAGAGCATAACCGCTACAGAACTATTACATGGATAACACTGATGGAAACTATTCTCCTCTTGTTCATAAACTCTGCTTGAGTTCAAGATGCACACTGGGCTCCTCAAAACTAAATACTTAAATATTTTTGGGCTGACTACTTCCTCTGGTAGTAGTAGTTATTTTTATTCCCATCCCATGTAAGCATCTAAGGCTATCATCATGGGAAAAACTGAGTTGCAATATACAAGAGATACATAAACAAAATAAAAACCAAACAAACACAAAAATACAGCACCTAATTAACATTAGCAAATTAACATTGATAAAAAAAATATATATTTTCTGGTAAAACCTTACTAAACAAGTCCCTAAATGTGAGCGTACTTTATAAAAAAAAAGTTTTGTACATGCATTAAAACCAGGACAGTCCAATAAAATATGTTTAATGGAAAGGCGGATTGTAGAGCATGCATGTAGCTGGGTCTACGCCTTTAAGCAAAAAGACATGGGTCTCCTCGATCTACTAAACCTAGAAACTATTAGGGATGCACCGAAATGAAAATTCTTGGCCGAAGCCAAAACCGAACAAAATGAAACACTGGGCTGAAGGCCGAACACTGTTTTTCAAGATTATCCCCCTGGTATTTTGACAATTTTTCACACCATTGCATAAATTGAATAGCTAAAATGTGCTTTTTACTGTTTTCTCTTGTTTTTCAAAGAAAACAATCAATTACAAAACAACAATTTAAAAAAAATATTTAACACTAAACATTTACCATTCTAGCAGACATTATACCAACAAAGCACAATTTAACTTAAAATTAATAAGTTACTAAAATAATATTTATTTGGCAATCAGACCCCCTTCTTGAATCAGGCATGTATTTTTTACTGTAAAAAGCAGCCTTGCTGAGCAGAAGAGACTTTTAAAACATTACAAAATATTACAGATCCCAATTTGAACACTATGTGTGTGTTATAATAAATGTATTAACAGCTGTTGTAAATTTTATCAATTATTGTCTTCCTTTTTATTTTATATAACAATAAAATTGCAATACTAACATTTCTGAATGTTGGAGTTCTTGCTTTGTCAACTTTTATTTTGGCGGAAAACGCACAGGAAGACCTCAATGCTTCTTTTTGTTGACAGCAGATTTATAAATGAGTCTGATTACGAATACGTCGCACGTATTAAATTGTCACATGCCTTGTAAAAATTAGGGCTGTGCAATTAATCGCATGCGATTGTCATGCGCATCTCTTCAGTAAAGCTCGTAGTTCACTGACAATTAGGCAATATCGTGTTCATAAATCACAGATGAACCGCATTAGATTATGAATGCGATATTGCCTAGCTTGTCAGTGAACTACAGCTCGGTGTATTAAATGCCGCACCATCTGAAAGCATGTGAAGGCGATCTACTACCAATCACGGAACCGGCTTTACTGACGAGATGCGCTTGACAATAGCATGCGATTAATTGCACAGCCCTAGTAAAAATTAATAAAAATGTGACTGAGCAACTGATGAGTAACACTGTTTCAGCGCAGATTTTCCTCGCGCTTTGGACTTTGAACTCAGCATTTCTGCCACGAGTTCGTGCAGCGCTGTCAGAATACATGCAATTCGTGCATGCATTAGAAAAACATAACGTTCTGCAGTTTATTTACTAATTGTTTAAAGCCATTTCGCGATTTCAGCCATCATACAGTAAACCAGCAACAATCACCCCTTCCTCTTCTCATCGAAGACATGCGATGCAGTACTAAACAGTCTCTCGCTGTTGGTGCTTGTAAAGACTTTAGCGTCTTTCTCGGACAGTTTAAATGCTTCCACACTGCTGACATGTTTGTTGCATTATAAAGAGTGTGCGCCTCTCACTCTACGCTGGTTGCTATTTGATAGCGTCATGTCATTGTTTGGTACAATTTATTCGGTCTTTTCGCTTATTAATAATTTTGGTTGCCGAACATTCGGTGCATCCCTAGTAACTAGTGCATCCCTAGTGCATATCTATAAACCATGTCATCTATGTTGATGAGTTCAAACAGCAAAACACAGAATGATGCCCCTGAATCTTATTATACATAACATTGGTCAAATAAAGGAAACATCTTAGCACACAACTCTGCATATATGAATAATAATAATATACATAATTTCCACTTGTAAATTCCAAAGAAGAAATAATTGTTTGTGAATTGTACACACGTTGTGTAAAATAAGTACACTAAAAATAATATATTTACACACTACCTACCGTTCATATGGGGTCATTACAATTTTTTTAAATAAACTTGTATTCAGCAAGGGCACATTAAATTGATTTAAAAAAATCAGCTTTGCCATCAGAGCAATACTTTACATTTAAAATATTAAAATAGAAAACAGTTATTACTAACAGTAATATATAAAAAAAAAAAAAAAAACAGTAGCAATATTCAGTAGTAATATTCAATAAAATTCCTAAAAAAAATAATCAGGATCATTGGGAAACATTCATAATACAAAATCTGTGTGACTGATCATTTAAAATTTGAATACATTTTTTCCTGAAACTATCTTCTGACAAGGACTAAAGACTAAAATAATGTCTTCATGTACTTTACATAGGCATGCATAAAGTGAGTGAAGTGACGTGACATGTGGCCAAGTGTGGTGACCCATACTCGGAATTTGTGCTCTGCATTTAACCCATCCAAGTGCACACACACAGTAGTGAACACACACCCGGAGCAGTGGGCAGCCATGCTGCTGCGGCGCCTGGGGAGCAGTTGGGGGTTTGGTGCCTTGCTCAAGGGTCTCACCTCAGTCGTGGTATTGAGGATGGAAGAGAGTGCTGTACATTCATTACCCCCCAACTACAATCCCTACTGGACCTGAGACTCAAACCCGCAACCTTTGGGTTACAAGTCCTACTCTCTAACCATTAGGCCACGACTGCCCCATAAATCAAGTTTGTTAACTACAAAAAAAATACTTTTGCAGTAAAACCTCCACAATTTAACTGAGTATTCGGAGTATCATACAACAGTGTGAAACATTGAGAATTTCTGAATTCCACAATTGATGCATTTTCAGCTATTTTCATCATTAATTCAATGCATTTTTCATTTGTAGACACTAGGAATTTATTTCATATTACAATGCAAAAATTACTTTTCATTATTTTGAGTTTCATACAACAGCATGTCTACTTTGGTGGACTTTTATAATAGTAATATATCAAATACATCTGGTTTAAAGCTAACAGAATTCATTATGCTGCATATCACAATGAAAGCCATTTAAATGAAAAGTGCTGCAATGCATTATTTTCAAAAAGGTTGTATTAATCTTGAACAATGTGATCTAGAGCAGTGGTTCCCAAACCTGTCCTGGAGGCCCACCTGCCCTGCACTTTTTGTATGTCTCCCTTATCTAACACACCTGATTCCACTCATCAGCTCGTTAGTAGAGACTGCAATAACTAAATTGGGTGTGTCTGATTAGAGAGACATACAAAATGTGCAGGGCAGGGGGTCCTCCAGGACAGGTTTGGGAACCACTGATCTAGAGAAAAGCAGACCTGCTCTAAGACAACACCTGCAGGCTCCAACCCGCATTTGGCAAAGGAGATAAAGTGTTATAAGTTACATTTATAAGGTTCAAGTCACCAGGACACAATCATTGCCAACCATTATCACAACCAAAAACAGTAAGAGTAGATAACTTTTGTATAATAATATACAAAATAATTGCGATAAACGATGTTAGTGTAATTTTAAAGACCATTTTATGCCACTGAATATATAATCATAATGTAACAGCCTAATAATGCAAGACGGCCTACACACTTCCAAATGACAAACTTTTAATTTTTAAGAATATTTAGATCATGGAAATTAAGTATCAAAATATTAGTTACCTTAAAAAAATTTAATAAATAGTAAATAAACATTTTCTAACAAAAAGTGCAAAGTAACAAATACAAAAAAAAAAAAAAAATGCACAAAAAACTTGTATGGAGATTTTTCCCTGACCTACTTTTCTCTGTAAATTAATGGTGCACACTATTGCTGAAACACACAATCACTACTTGGCAGTCAGATGACCGTATGCACAAGGGCACAGATCCCTAAACAAGACCATATCTGCAGATGAAACTTTTTTTTGTAGAAGCATTTTTTAAAATTTGAACTAGCACCTCATGACTACACCACGCTATGTACGAGAAGCTGCAAAAGACACAGGCGCAAGTGGAATGTACAAAACATAGTGACATTAAGTAAATATAATGGGTGATATATTGCGTCACCAAAAATTATTGAGGTCATGTACATATATTGCGCGATAAGTCAATATATTGATTATAGGCATGGGCCGGTATGAGATTTTGACGGTATGATAACCTTAAGCAAAAATATCACGGTATTATTGTTACAGCTCTAAAATGTGATTTTTTTTTTATGTTTGGGGGAAAAATAAAAAATAAAAAAAAAACTTTACCACTGAACACAATATATTTTATTTTTGAGCAACATACAGAATATTTGGAACAGTAGTATTTGTTTATTTTTTTTCTTTGATTTGTTTCTGAAATGTTTGCTGAATTGTGGGCTGTCCTGCAGCTTTTGAAGTGGATGGTTGATTTGCTGCTAGAGCTACTGCCGTCCTAAAAAGAAGAAAAATAAAGACTGACATCTTTATTTAACCTAAATCTGTAATTACATTTAATTTTAATTATATAATTCATAAACATATAATTTCATACAATTTAGTTATATAATTTCATACAGATAATTTGATTTAATAATAAGCCTATTTGAAGCAAAAACAATGTTCTGACTAGCTTTGTGAAATTATACTACATGCCTGAATGAAGCAAACAGCAGAAGCTCTGAATGAGACGCAGATTCCCTCTCTGACAGCAGGAGGCGCTTCTGGAACACCAGATACAGTGTTTCCTTGGTTATCTCTGTAAACACAGCAGCGCTGTGCTGAAACACTGCTTTAATATGAACTATACAGAGATGAGATGAAAAGAAAATACCATCTAAACTTTTCTGAAGTCAGTTCCCCTCAGAAACACATTCATATAAACCTCAAATCAATATTGAGGATTTTCTTCCAGTAGTTTGTTCATCATGAACAGCGAGTGATCTGCCTGCTACAGTATTTTTTCTCTTTGCGTCCGTCTTCAGCGTCTCGGGCCTGTTAACGGGCGTTTACACACTTCATATTTTCACATAAATTACATTTTGGAAAATTATTGCATTGCAACGCAGTTTGTGCAAGTCCAGAACAGAGACGAGCTGCAATAAAACAAAAAACAGCCGGTTGCCGATCGCGCAAGTTCCAGGGGAAGCTCTTTCAGCCGTCATACACACACACACACACACGTGACTGACTGCTCGCTCGCACCAACAGGAGGGGGACGGGGCGTGTTACTCTCACTCAACCTGAGGGATTCCTACACTTTCAGTCTTTGCGCAGACATGAAAAATAGCACATACTGCAGGGATGGTATAACGGAAAATGTTTGTGGTTTTGAAACCGTGAATTTTTCAAATCGCGGTATACCTTGAAACCGGTAATCGGCCATTGCCTAATTGATTATTGCAACAGGCCTAAGTAAGAGTGTGACTTAAGTTGTCAAAAACCATGCAGTTTCATTATAACTAGAGCCCGACCGATATGGGTTTTTGGGGGGGGGCTGATACCAATATTAGGGAGTAAAAAAGGCAGATATCGATATATCGGCCAATATTCTTTGTGTATATTATAGTACAGTATAGGGGTGGAACGGTTAACGGGAAAAAATCGAACCGTACGGTTCTCCACACACGGTTCAGCACGCGCTAGGACCGCGGTTCAACTTAAATCTGACAACGCATCTGTAATCTGGTTTGCTATAAATAACACGTTAAACAAACACGGTTTGTCTAATATATGTTTCTGTTGATGGATGCGCATTCTGGCTTCCCAATACATTACAACAACATGGACGAACCATTCACTCGTTCAATGCGAATGCTGGAATATGAGCATTTATTCCGTCATCACCCGGGTGCTGATAGCACGCGCACACAGGTGAGACCTGAACAGCACACGTTAATATCTGTGTTTAAACCAAACTCATTTAAGCTTTGCCAGTTTAAACATTTAAGAGCCAGAGGACGCGAGCTCGTGCGCGGAGTGAGAAGATTTGTGCGTGCGCTAATCCGAAACGCACAAACCAGCGCCTCAGAACACGCGCAAGTATTAAGCTCACTCTGAAGTATTGTTTAAATGGACAAATTCACACAAAAATTATGTCAAAATGCCCATCTTAGTAAGTATCCTATAGCAGACATAGCCGGCTGAACGTACTGGATCAGTGCATTCTCTTAAAGTGACAGCACTTTCTTAATATTAATCAAACAGCAACAACAAATAAATCACTCACTGCTCTTGATTGAATAGCTTTTGTAACTTTAAAGATTAATCTTTAATTTATAGAGTGAAATATGCAATGCCGTTTTACATTTCATTACTTTATTCCATTTCTGTACATAATGTTAGACCTACCTAAAAAAAACACTGTTTATTTTATTTGTATCTTTACCCTATTGTATTTATTTGTGCCGTTGCTAGTAGTTTATTTTTATTTGACAGTATAGTTTTTGCCTAAACATAGCACATACCGAACCGTACCGAAACCATGACTCTAAAACCGTGATACAAACCGAACCGTGAGTAAGTTGAACGGTTCCACCCCTAGTACAGTACCAGTCAAAATTTTGGACACTTTCCCATTCGTGTCCAAACTTTTGACTGGTACTATATATAGAATACAGTATATACAAACAGAATATACACACAAACACATTTTTTTTGCAATGACCACTCAAATATGGTGATCACTTACAATGACGTGACAAAGATATGTAATGGAGGCAGGGCATTTAACAATTTAAACTTTATTATCCAAAATGAGTCTGACATCAGTGCACTGAACAATAAAGTTGAAGTTTATTCAACTATTTCAATTCAATTCCATTCAACTTTATTTTGTTGAAGTTTATTTCACTTCGGAACATTCATTCATGGATTTGCGCTACGGTCTTCACACACAGATGAAACTTACTAGAGAAGTGTGACATAATATACCTCTGCAAATAAATACAATTTAAATTCACGTCTCGCGCACTATAATGCCCTTTGAAGGTAACGTGTACATTCCCTTGGAACTGGAATCATGGCGGAATATCATGTGAAGTCCACTTCGCAGGCCACTTACGGTCGAATAAGACACCACTTGAATGCTGCTGCCTGAACAAGAGACCTCCTTACTGAAGTGAAAGTGTTGGCTGGTGTCACTATCTCACGAACGCAGCAGCGGATCTCCACCAAATTCGGGGGATCCCTTCAGCGCGAGGAGCCCTCTCGAACACCACCCTCCGCGCGTCGGTAGCCCCCTGGGATCGCCAGATCGGTCAGCGACCGACCGCTAATTTAACTGAAGTGAAAGTGTTGGCTGGTGTCACTATCTCACGAACGCAGCAGCGGATCTCCACCAAATTCGGGGATCCCTTCAGCGCGAGGAGCCCTCTCGAACACCACCCTCCGCGCGTCGCTAGCCCCCTGGGATCGCCAGATCGGTCAGCGACCGACCGCTAATTTAACCGCCCGTAAATCCCGAACCTCGGGGAATATCGACGCGGGGGCCACAAGTCGTACACTTTCGATTCAGCGTTCGAGAGGGTTCCTCGAGCTGAAGGGATCCCCCGATTTTGGTGCGGATCCGCCACGCCGTTACGGAGATATGGCCGTTCAAAGTTTCAATGGTATTACATACACTTAAGCTTTAAAGCGCTTCATCCAGGTTGCCAGTAACAAACAATGGAGACCGCTCTGCTGAACAAACTACGTACTTACACCATTTACAAGCATTTTATGTTCTGGAAAAAAATGTTCATATAGGTGGCATATTTGCCGATATATCTGCAACAGGCTAATATCAGCCAATAAAATCGGCAAACCGATATATCGGTCGGGTTATAATAATAACAGTGGTGAAATGCTGTACCTGTTTGCTATGAAGATGATGACTGGAACTCTTCGATTTAAGATACTGATCTAAAAAACAACACAAAAAGAAACATTAAAAATCAGCAAAAAAAAAAAAAAAAAAAAAAAAAAAGTAAACTATAAAGTTAAGGTGGTGGTTACATCAACATATCAGGGCATATAACTTTCTGTACTTTCTTACTTCATGTATAACTTTCTGTATACAATGAATGCCCCTTCTTTTTCAACCAATTGGAAGGCTATCAAGTTACACTTAAAAAAAAAACTAAAATAAAAAAAAACACCGTACACACTCCAACCTTGTACCAAACCTGATACTCAAAATCAAATGAATAAGAACTTATATTCAACATTATGTAAAATAAATTTGGTAAAACATTGAATAGATGGCTAAGAGTGACATGAAAATTACAAATTAGCAAGTCTACAAAAACCCTACAGTTAATAGGCTACCTTTAAACAAACAACCTGTTCACCAGAAAACTATGAGCAAGTGGATCTTCTACACAGGATTATGTCATATATTTGATTTGGCTCTTTCTTGTTAGCTTAAACAACCACTAAAAATATTGTTCGACCCCTGCACTAAAGTTAAAACCTAAATACAAACAAGTAGATGACAGCTCGTGATTACGTTATAGTGTTATAAGGGCAATATTCCCTCTTACACACATTTACTAAGCAAGTAATGAAAAAGCACCGCACATCTCGCATACTGGGCGTCATGTATAACACTGTATAATATAACTGCTATCCAATAATATTAAGATAACACAAAATTTAACAAATTAGAACAGGGAACAAAATGCACACGCATAATTGTTACATTATAAACTGTGTTGAAGGCCCAGTCGTCAAACGTGCTTCGCTGTGCTCTGGCATGGCCGCCCATAGTACTGAGTGTCATAGTAACACAAATACAACTGACACGAGGAACTCCGCACAATCATAACCCCTAACTGCGGTTAAACACATTCGCGTAATGCAGAGAAGGCGCAAAATGAGACAAAACAACCGCTTGCAGGACTGAGTATTTCGTTTGGTTACTTGCCCGTTAGCTTTAGCTAATCGCTAGCGCGACCTCCATTCCATTCGTGCGCAGTGTCTCTTACACAAGAGATCCTTTCATTCCATTATTTTGTTCCTCAGTCGCGCTCATAAGACTTTACGTTGTATATGGCGCAAAATATAACTGAATACAATTCTCAATAGGCTCTAAAGTATGTACTATGGGTGTTAAATCTAACTAATTTCTGCGAATCGGTGCTTTGTCGTCATCGCGTAATGACGCCGTCACGCGGTCCTTACGTCCTGGCGTCCCATAAAACCCCACGTACGTACACACTGCTGTTTACTACAGTATTGATAAGCGTGTTTACTGTGGGTGTACAGGAGTTTCACGCCGAACGAATCGCACAGACTAACGTTACTCTCTTGGACCGATTCAAAAAGGGATTCGTTTGCGAGATCTCAGTAGTGAGAGCACTGGTGGGTCAGTCACACAGAGCTGCCACGTGAGAAGAGGTTATAGTCTACACGTAATGATTATTATTTAATAGCAAACTAATTTAGAGATATTTCATACTCATGCAAAATATGCTGGAGACTTTAAACATTTAAAACCAGTATAGTTTCCTCAGCAGACATATATATCTATACTTATCTGCACGGACTAGCTTCCTATATCTTCCAGTCGTGCAGAAAAACACAAACATTCATGAAGAAAAGTACTTCACATTATAATAACTTCGATTCAAAAGCTGCAAAATAATGCACACGTTTCGTGCAACACCAGAGAACCACACACACCCACTTCGTAATCTTAATTGCATCTAAAATTCGCAGTAATCACATTTAAACAGGGCGGAATAATGCAATCGTGTACCTGAATCTGTCAACAGTTTATAGAATAACGTACATTCAAACTGTAATAAAAAAAACCGTGATTGCCAAGCACACGAGAGACATACGTGTTTTTAAAACTCATATACCAAAACATAGATTCAGCCTTATTAGATCTGGAGACAAAACTTTGTTGTACTCCACCTGGAAGAATCTTTTCTTATCGTATCAAATAAATATGGAGACTCGTGGCGCCATTACTAGAGCGCGAGGTTCACTGACACACTGAATCTGCAGCTCTGAATTCAGCACAGACGAACGGCAGAATAACATGCATTAGTGTCCATAACAACTGGAAATGCATACTCACTTGTTAGCATTAATAGCTTTCGGGCTCAGTGCAAAGGTATGACCTCCATTTTCTTTTCTCGTTGATGATGGTGGCGAATAGTTGCTTTTGCTAGCAGTGCATAGCATGAGGCAAAGCACAGGCGAAGCTGAAGTTACAATGTAGAACAGCGACGCAGTGTCGTGGGGGTGACAATGCACCATCCAAAAATATCCGACATGCAGAAGTGCGCCCTCCAGGCTGCAGTCTTCTTCTTCTTTTAAATTTAATGGCGGTTGGCAAACCTACTTAAATGGTGCATTCCCGCCACCTACTGGAAAGGAGTGTGGAGCGCATAATGATTGGAAGTTTGAAAACTATAGCCAAAAACAAAACAAAAATACAACGCCAATTATTCCCGCTTTATTTACTACAACTGTATCCTAAATTCTATTGATCAGTTTCTTTTAAGAAAATAATTAATTCATGAAATATTCTTGATTGCATTGGGCCATTTCCTAACAGAACCTGAAGTGACAAATTATTTATTCCGAATGATCCTAAAGCTTGAATTAGTTGAAATCTTGCTCCTTCATATGCCCAGTCTGCAGTCGAACATCTGACCGCCATTCAAAGCCTCTTTAAAAAACCTAAAACTGGTACAGTTTGATTATATTATTCTGAAATTCGTTAATAGAAGAAATGTTTCTTGAAGCAGCAAATCAGCATATTAGAATGATTTCTGAAGGATCATTTGACACTGAAGACTGGAATACTGAAATAAAAAAACAGCTATTTTTAAATTGTAATTAGTTTGAACTGTATTTAAATAGTTTTTACTGTATTTGTGATCAAATCAATATAGCCTTGGTGAGCATAAGAAGCGTCTTCCAATAACAACAAAAATCATACCAACCCCAACTTTTGAATAGTAGTGGATATTTAGGAGGTGATATATACTGTATATACAGTATATACACCGGTGCATCTCAATAAATTAGAATGTCATGGAAAAGTTCATTTATTTCAGTAATTCAACTCAAATTGGAAATAAATGAACTTTTCCACGACATTCTAATTTATTGAGATGCACCTGTATATACACCGTGTATATTAAAGCAATAAGCCCCAAGAAACCGTGGTTTACAGTGAATTTATAACAGCTGTTATAAATTCACTGTAAACCACGGCTTCACGGGGCTTTTTGCTTTTATAAAACGGTTATTCAATATACGTAGTAAGGTTTCACAAAATAAAACAGAGCAAATAAAGTGTAATGCTATTAATAAAAACATTATTCTTCCGCCAAACAATGTAGTTCCTCACAGAGCCGTTGAGAAACAGAGTTGCGACACGCTTTGCTCTCGCGTGTCACGTGGTTCGAGGAGCTCTCAATAGTTCCAAACAACTCCGCGCTGTCAATATGTTTGAATGGGTTTAAGTAGGATAGACAGCGGTTTCACTATATTTGCAGCAATTTCTAGTGATTATTAACACATCATGTGCATTGGTTGTGTATTGATAACTACGTTGACTACGTTTTACAATCGCATTTTATTCTGGGGAGTGATGAAGAGACAGCATTAATATTTTTTCTAATATGCTTATTATTTATATTACAATTAGCATAGTATTTAGGGTTAAAATAGAGAAAATGTTTTTAAATTCCAGTGCAAAGAGAAAAAATTAGAGGCCTTTGGTTGCCAGAAAAATAATATTCCTATGTAATGCCATGGTTTAACCACTAGATGCCCGTATGGCTGTTTAATAAATATAGCCTACATATATTTAGCTCTACTCTAGTTGCTGTAAAGGGTTTTACCAGTCATAATAGCTTATTTATTGATTGATTTACTTTATGTTTTGCATCGTATATTTAGACATTATCAAACACTCAATGTTTATAAGTTTTGCTTTTTTTTTTTAAATGTTGAATTTAAAAAGATTAATTACTCACATCCCAGTATTATTTTATGACATTTATGTAAGAAGACTATATAAGTGATTGTTAAAAAAGGCCAGCAAATACAAAATTTAACCCAATAAAAAGGCAACCAACTGCATTTAGGGAAACTCTTTCTTGTATTCCTTTAATGGGCAGTCTTCACTGAAACTCATTCAACTTCCTACAGGGAGAGAAAGATTGCAGAAAGACTAAAAACTTTAAAATATGACAACTAGCATCTGGTTATGATTGCTATTAAGGTGTTTCTCATGTTATCTAACTGCAAATATAGCATAACTGCCAATTATCTAAAACTAAACATTAACTATACCGCGTTTCATAAAATACAACTACTGGCCAGATTTCCGAGAGGTAAACTAATGCGTTTAAATGCCAAAAACAGCTGTAATTTCCTCAACTTTCTGGCGAGTGTGCTTGAGAAGCACTGAAATGAATGGGCTTCAATACAGGGACTACTGTTTGTTCGGAACTATTGGCTGCTCCATGACACGCTTTACTTCCGCATTCCTCAGTTCCTATGGAAGCCTATGGGAGTGTCGTAACTCTGTTTCTCAACGTTCTGAGTCGGATACTATGTCTTACCAGACTGTGTGCATGACTTCATGTGCTCAGGCCAGTGTGCTTGTTGGCAGGGATAGTCACAGTAGCTGGTGTTCCAACAGCAGTAGAAAATGGCCTCCTTTCTGCAGTTTGCACACCACTGCTTTTTTTTTGTTTCATCTATGGCCTGCTGTTTCTCCACCTCCATCTGCTTCTTGACCTCCGTCACGATCCGCTCTCGCTCCTGTTCGAGACTCTGCCTCATCTCTGCCATGGTTAGCTCTGAGTACATTTAACAAATGTGGACAAACAAAAATGCAGTCAGTATGGAATATTGATGCACAAGATATTGGACCCATATCAGTAGGGCCCTAAGAAATCGCTTTTAATTTTTCCCAAATTCCATTATATTTTTTTCTCAGATTAAATTTGTTTCTGTTTAAAATTTTCTGTATTCAATTTGAATGGTTAAATTCAATTTTAGTAAACAAAAAGCATGTCTAGTTAATTGAAATCATAAAAATGTACAACAATTTATTAAAACTATAACAAAAATTTCATTTTTAGGGCCCTAAGAAATGTTTTATTTTTCCCAAATTCAGGTGCTTCATGTACTTGACATGTGCATGACTATGTGTAGTGAAGGAAACTACACTTTTTGCACAAACTACTTTTAATTTATTGCTTTAGGCAGGCATTGGAAAATGTCTTGCACATGGTCATCCCCTTCATGCTCATTTCATTATTGTTGCATCCTTACCTTAATTAAACTATTATCAGAAACTCACATACCTAAATTGTGCTTCATCTCTGATAATTCTTGTTGATGTAGCCACTGCAGTTTTTCAATTTCAATTCGCAACCGTCTTATCTGTAACAGGGCAAAAATGGCTGTTTTATTCATATTTTCAAGTTGTTAAATAACTCACCAACAGGGCTTTGCTCTTCTCCAGATTTACTTTACAAATACAAACCTCTGTTATTGTGTTTCCCGATGTGCCTTTGGAAAGGTCATTATATATCTCAGTCATCGTCCCTTTAACTGCATCCATGATCTGTTGGTCAAACACATCAATAATTATGTCAACAGAACAATTAAAATGGTTTTCATCTAAAGGTGTAGTTTGCAGCCCCCATTTCTTTTAGAAATCTCACTTTATTAGTGTACTTTGCTATATCAGCTGCTACATCTGCAGACGTGGTGGGGATCTGGAAGTCTCCAGTTGTGGATGTTGATGATGAAGAGGAAGAGCTGACGGTGGGTCCTGCTATTATGGTGGCTGATACCGGTGTGCTGGTCACCAGGGTGACGGCAGAGGTGGACGTGGTGTGTGTCGAGTCTTTCTGTTGCACTGCTGCAAGAACAAACCCAACAATAATGATATTTAAGTTTGGAATAAGATGTTTTTGAAAGCTGTCTCTTATGCTCACCAGAGCTGCATTTACTTGATTAAAAATAAAACGTAAAACTTAACTTATTGCAATTTAAAATAACTAAAAAAATAAAAATTAATTTCAAAATGTCATTTATTCCTGTGATGGCAAAGCTGAATTTTCAGCATCATTACTCCAGTCTTCAGTGTCACATGATCCTTCAGAAATCATTCTAATATGCTAATTTGGTGCTCAATTATTATTATTTTTTATTATTGCTACACGATTCTTAATAATAGTTCTTCTTATTATAATGATGAAAACAGTTTAGTGTTTTTTTTTGTATTTTTAATCAAATAAAAGCAGCCTTGGTAAGCATGAGAGACTACTTTCAAAAACATTAAGAAACCTAATTATTCCAAACTTTTGACCGGTATTGTACATATGACATTTAGTATTCATTCACATTGACTGCATACTTTTCACAGCCTGTCGTGTTTGGTATCTGGTGCTGGATGAAGGCTGCTGTCCCGACGAGGATGAGGAGACCTGCGCTTGCTGCTGCGGCTGTTGGCTGCGCTGCACCTGCGTTAACACCTGTGCTTGTGTGGCCGGTTGCGTTTGGCCCTGCTGCTGCTGCCTATGCACCTTTTGCATGTGCCACTTTTGAGAGGACGTCTGAAACTTGGTAGTGGGGTTCCACACGACGGCCTGCTGCACCACAGGTACGGTCTCTCTGGGCAGTAAAGGTCTCTGTTTCTTTACTGTGCTGGTGGAGATGGGTGAGGAACTGTTGGCGGTGGAGGGAGTGGTGATGGGGAGGGTCGAGGAGGTCAAAGTTGTGTTGGTCGGAGCTGCTGTGAATGGTATTATGTTAAGCGGGACGGCCATCGGGGATTGAGATGGGTCTTTAATAGTTGGGGAGGAGGAAAGGACTGTTGAGTTCTGAGGCTGGGTGACACCGCTTGAAATGGGAGTGGCTTTACCTGAAGTCAAAGAAATTCATGCGCGCATGAGACACATTTTTGTTACTTAAAATGAATTTTAACTGAAATAAATAAAATGTAAAAAAATATATATATATTTTATGTTAAATACAACATTTCTCATTTTCATTTAAATTTGAAACTCGGTGACTATTGTAAATAACTAAAATGTATGACAAAATTACTAAAACTTTAAAACGAAAACAGAAAATATAAAAGTAAAAACAAATTCTAAATATTATTAGATATTTAAAAAAACGAATAAAAAAAAAAAACGACTTTAATAATAACTTAAAATAACTTAATACTTTCATTTAAACCATTAATAAAAAGTATAAGAGTATCTCTGGCATAAGAACACATTAGCCAATTTACCTTGTATCCAACCAGGGAAACAATATAAAGAGGCAAGCAATAATCTGAATTTTTCAACAAGACATTTGTTGGTTTACTGGTTTCAGGTTTTGTCCAGTTGAATCTTAGAATGGTTCAAAATCCAAATGCACAAATTTTTTTTTGTATATGTTGATAATATGGCAGTCATCTTAGGCTTGATAAATACATACATGGGCAAGAATGATTAATTTATGCTGAAGGTATTGTATTTATCTTAGAAACGTACGCGAAAAAAATCGTCTACTGCAACGTACGAAACAACTGGCTTAGAAACAATATGAACACTGCAATAATATTACAGTAATATTAATAAAGAAGTTATCTGAGGTGAATTTCAATTTCAACAAAATCAATGACTGAGACGCAAGATGGCGCCAGTTGCGTTTGTATGAAACAAGAGAGCGATTCCGCTGCGCGACAAGAGCGTTGATCAGGCAAGTCAAAAAGTTTTCGCTTACCACTGTGTGAATTTGCAGTCAGCTATAATTGTTTTAATCTGTAAGTGAAAATGTCTGATAATAATGGGGTTACTGAGTAGTAGTAGTAGTATACGGCAAGTCATGTGATCATGTGGCGATTAGCAGATCAGCATGAAGCAACCCGCTAGATCCATGTAAAATAAAACAGATTTTATGGGGCTAATATAATTATATAATGTATATATCAATTTTATATTATTTCAATATTTTATTCTTTGATTTGTTAATTACTTTTATAAATAAAATTACTGAGTGCACCTTTAAACATCAACTATCATCTGATTGGTTGTGATTTTTATTGTTTTGCATACTGATTCACTTTCAATAGTAACATAAAAATTACTTGATGCTGATCTAATAGCATCTGGTGCAACTGATGTTGCTAGAAGTTTTATCCACATTTTTTGGATTAACAGTATTATTTACTGCTTAATTGGCACTGATTCATAAAGAGAATCTGACCTTCAGGTTTGGAGGCTGTGGGCTCTTTGAGTGCGGTGACAGCGGCTGAATCTTTCCTGTTCCTCTTCCTCTTCTTCCCTGCCTGCTCTTCTCCCAGGTCAATGACCAGCTCCCTCTCAGAGTCCGAGTCCATGTCTTCATCCACAGATGCCGGCTGCATGGCCTCCTCAGAGCCCTTGGGTTTCTCTCTGGAATCTGGGGATGCGGGAGCAGCTTTCAGTTTCTCAGGAGGTTCTTTCTCTGAATCCATACCTGGTTTGTCTTTAGTTATATGCTCGGAGGTGCTTGTTTTTTGGCTGGTTTCTCCTTTGGTTGTTGTACTGGCTGTAACAGCAGACTCTGCACTGCTGTCTTTGCCTTCACCAGCAGCCGCCGATGGTTTTGACTTTTTCTTGGGTGGCTCTTTCTCATTTTTATCATCAGCTACGGTTTTGTCATCTTGGCCGCTCTTAGATTTCTGTTCATCGTCGCTAGCATATTCACTATCGCTGGAGACAGACTTGTCGGATTCCTCTGTATCGCTGTGCTCAACGCCTTTATACACATCCTCAGATATTTCATCTATACCTGTGAGACACAGAAATGTTTAACCTTCAGGAAAGTAATACAATGGCTGCACATTCTCTATCAATAAGTCATTATAAATGAAAAGGATTATAGAGTGTAACTAACTCACTGGTGATGAAAACAGGACTATTTAAAAAGCGCTCAAAAAAAATTATATTTAAAATTCTAAAAATGCTGTTCTAAAAACTATTAGATATTGCAGAAGGTGTAATGAGTTAAGCAAAACTGTATTTTACCTAACAGGGAAGATATAGGCATAATTAGTCGAAAAATATGTATGTTTTGTCACAAAACTCATGTTGGACTAAATATTATTAGATATTTAAAAAAACGAATAAAAAAAAAAAAACGACTTTAATAATAACTTAAAATAACTTAATACTTTCATTTAAACCATTAATAAAAAGTATAAGAGTATCTCTGGCATAAGAACACATTAGCCAATTTACCTTGTATCCAACCAGGGAAACAATATAAAGAGGCAAGCAATAATCTGAATTTTTCAACAAGACATTTGTTGGTTTACTGGTTTCAGGTTTTGTCCAGTTGAATCTTAGAATGGTTCAAAATCCAAATAAACAATGGTTTAATTTTTTAAATGCACAAAATTTTTTTTGTATATGTTGATAATATGGCAGTCATCTTAGGCTTGATAAATACATACATGGGCAAGAATGATTAATTTATGCTGAAGGTATTGTATTTATCTTAGAAACGTACGCGAAAAAAATCGTCTACTGCAACGTACAAAACAACTGGCTTAGAAACAATATGAACACTGCAATAATATTACAGTAATATTAATAAAGAAGTTATCTGAGGTGAATTTCAATTTCAACAAAATCAATGACTGAGACGCAAGATGGCGCCAGTTGCGTTTGTATGAAACAAGAGAGCGATTCCGCTGCGCGACAAGAGCGTTGATCAGGCAAGTCAAAAAGTTTTCGCTTACCACTGTGTGAATTTGCAGTCAGCTATAATTGTTTTAATCTGTAAGTGAAAATGTCTGATAATAATGGGGTTACTGAGTAGTAGTAGTAGTATACGGCAAGTCATGTGATCATGTGGCGATTAGCAGATCAGCATGAAGCAACCCGCTAGATCCATGTAAAATAAAACAGATTTTATGGGGCTAATATAATTATATAATGTATATATCAATTTTATATTATTTCAATATTTTATTCTTTGATTTGTTAATTACTTTTATAAATAAAATTACTGAGTGCACCTTTAAACATCAACTATCATCTGATTGGTTGTGATTTTTATTGTTTTGCATACTGATTCACTTTCAATAGTAACATAAAAATTACTTGATGCTGATCTAATAGCATCTGGTGCAACTGATGTTGCTAGAAGTTTTATCCACATTTTTTGGATTAACAGTATTATTTACTGCTTAATTGGCACTGATTCATAAAGAGAATCTGACCTTCAGGTTTGGAGGCTGTGGGCTCTTTGAGTGCGGTGACAGCGGCTGAATCTTTCCTGTTCCTCTTCCTCTTCTTCCCTGCCTGCTCTTCTCCCAGGTCAATGACCAGCTCCCTCTCAGAGTCCGAGTCCATGTCTTCATCCACAGATGCCGGCTGCATGGCCTCCTCAGAGCCCTTGGGTTTCTCTCTGGAATCTGGGGATGCGGGAGCAGCTTTCAGTTTCTCAGGAGGTTCTTTCTCTGAATCCATACCTGGTTTGTCTTTAGTTATATGCTCGGAGGTGCTTGTTTTTTGGCTGGTTTCTCCTTTGGTTGTTGTACTGGCTGTAACAGCAGACTCTGCACTGCTGTCTTTGCCTTCACCAGCAGCCGCCGATGGTTTTGACTTTTTCTTGGGTGGCTCTTTCTCATTTTTATCATCAGCTACGGTTTTGTCATCTTGGCCGCTCTTAGATTTCTGTTCATCGTCGCTAGCATATTCACTATCGCTGGAGACAGACTTGTCGGATTCCTCTGTATCGCTGTGCTCAACGCCTTTATACACATCCTCAGATATTTCATCTATACCTGTGAGACACAGAAATGTTTAACCTTCAGGAAAGTAATACAATGGCTGCACATTCTCTATCAATAAGTCATTATAAATGAAAAGGATTATAGAGTGTAACTAACTCACTGGTGATGAAAACAGGACTATTTAAAAAGCGCTCAAAAAAAATTATATTTAAAATTCTAAAAATGCTGTTCTAAAAACTATTAGATATTGCAGAAGGTGTAATGAGTTAAGCAAAACTGTATTTTACCTAACAGGGAAGATATAGGCATAATTAGTCGAAAAATATGTATGTTTTGTCACAAAACTCATGTTGGACTAACAAAACAAAAATGCTTTTTAAGAAACGTAAGTAATACCATCAGAGAGTTTTAACAGAATGGTTTGTGAATGGCAGCAAAACACTGAAAGTTGTTGCAATTGCAATTGTACGTCAATTCAAAGTGTGAAAATGGCTGTTGTGTTTCTTATGACAGATTTCAATCTGAACTCACCCAGCTGTGCTTTGCAGCTCTCTATGGTCTTATCCAGGTTAAGTTGGAAACGGCTTCTGATCTGTCTCTTAGGGGAGGTGAGGGAGGGCTGAGCCCCATGCTGCTGTTGTTGCTGGACACTTTCACTCAGCTCCTTCAGGTCCATCTCTGCCTTACTACGATCTGAAAGAGATCACATGGCTCTCACTAGCCCGCTATGAGCAGATCTAAAAGCATACTCATTCGATCCTCATTACATCCTTATTTGAGCTACAGGACATCAAGTATAAATAAGATCTAGGAAGATTTAGAAAGGCTTTTTGTGGAATAGCATCACCAATGAATTATCCACAACGAGACCTTAATGTCTCATTGTGAAGAAATTAAATATGGTCAATTTTGATTTCATGTTTATTTTCACACAGTACAACATATTGAACAGACTTCCATTCCCTCCATCACAGCCTTGTTTCTGTTCACAATACATTTCATATGTTGTAACATTACATATATTATGTAACATTTATATTTAAAAAATATTTATGCACACAGTGATGTCTACGTACCTAAAATTATTTTAATTTATAGCCTGCAATTTGGAAGAGAACAGTGGGCAAGATGTGATATAACATTATATAGTCAGGTTTTTTTGGTTCAAGAAATTAATACTTTTATTCTGCAAGTGTGCATTAAATTGATCAAAAGAAAATATTCAATATATAAAAAGAAAAGAATATAAAATAATATAAAAAGAAAATATTTCAAATAAATGCTGTTCTTTTGAACTGTGTATTTACCAAAGAATTCTGTAAAAAAAAAAAAAAATTCCAACACTGATAATAAGAAGAAATGTTTCTAGGATCATGTGACACTGAAGACTGGAATAAATTAGATTTGAAATTATTTTAAATAGAAAACAGTTCACAATATTTCTGTAAAACTGTGCTTTCGATCAGATAAATGCAGCCTTGGTGAACATGAGAGGTTTTGAAAACGTTTAAAAATCTTTTTGACCCCACACTTTTGAATACTAGCGTATATTCAGAAAATAAAATGTGGCTATTATCAGATAAAACAATTAATCAAAGAAACAAGCAGCAGATTAATCAACTGAAGGGCGTTTACCGAGGTTGAGGTTGAGGATGCTGCCGGTAGTGGGGGTCTTCTCCTGTTTAACAGGGGTGCTGGGAGCCGGTGAATGGAAAGGTTTAGGGCTCTCTAAGCTGTTTCCTGTGAGACCTGCTCTAGGAGGGGCAGGCGATGCTGTAAGAGTAGAAATTAGCTTTAGTCATACAAATCATTCTATTTAAATATTATCAGGAAACATTTCAAGTTATATATACCAGTGCAGTCCACTGACTCCTCTCCAGTGCTGAAATGTGGCAGGGCCGCTCTAGCATGACCTTTCTCTGCAGTCTCCTGTTCTCCATCAGATCCCGTATGGGCAGAGGAGTTAGTGCTCATTGGTGAACGAGGCATGTCCGTCATTGAGATTCGCCTTCCTGTCCCACCCCCAACGTTTCCACTGGACACCATGCTCTTACCCATAAGCAACTTTGGAGATGCCGTTACATCAAAGCTGAACTTGATCTTCTCATGTTTTTCTGGTTTGACGGAGCCCGCGCTAGGGTTTGCCGGGTCCAGGAGCATCTGGAACTGGTTGTCTGGTGTGTAGGGTGTGCGGAATGGAGCGTAATTGAAGACTCCAATTTTTTTCCGGATGTTCTCTACGTACACTTCCATCTCCTGCATGGCACTGTTGAAGATGCTCTTGGTCTTCTTCACAGAGAAGGGGATCTCTTTGGACATGAGGTAGCAGTTGTTAATAGGAACCCAGGCCCTGTATATAAAAACGAATAAGTTAGAATAAATAATTAAAAAAACTGTGAAGTGACGACAAGTGTTTTCTATAAAGAAGTGTCAAGTAATTTTTCTGTCTTCACCTAGAGTGAAAAGCATCAGAATATCAATCATATCCAATCAGAACATATTGGTTTTGTATAAAGATATGAGAAAAATGATTTTGGAAAAATGTAGGGCTACAATAATTGATACAATTGGGGAAAAAAAAATCCATAATGAAAATAATCAATAACAAATTGTATTAGTTGGTTCTGTGCACACAGAAGTTGTTTTATGTATTAAAAAAAAGTTGAAAAAAAAAACTGGATATGAATTTAGGAAGTCTCTTACTTTTATAGGATAAAATGTATGTATGTATTTTTGTAATAATGTAATGTTCATATTTGAAACCTTAAATGCATAGCACAGTTAATATATTTATATAACACCGTAATATTTATTACATATTACATAAATATTATGTATATTTGTAATATTATTTATGCAATAATATTTGGAATAATTAACACTTTTATAGCCTTCATTTTAGAGGAGAACATTGGGCAGAATGTAGAATAAATATATTTTTTAAATATAATAATTAAATAATGTTTTTAAAAGAAGAAGTGGTCAACCTATAAATGGACTGTCAATATTCTATTGCGCAACACTGCTGTCGGTCACTTCTGGTTAAAAGCTAAGATTAACATGGAGCAAATTGATTTATAGTTTGATGTTGTGTGTATGGTTGGGACCCAGTTCAACGGTTCCTCACCTGTCGTGCTGCCCAAAGAACCGTGCATCCACTTGTCCATCTTTGTCTCGAAGAGCTTTGGCAGGCCAAAATGGGAATCCCTTCAGCTTGGCCCAGACCAGAGGGTGGGGGTTGCTCTGATGCACACAAATATTTCATGAACAGATGGTTAACTCACACTGGTTACTATGTGAAGAAGGAATTTCATTTTGTTTAGTGTAATACACTCACACATGGTTCACAAAACCAGTTATCCCTTTTCTGGCATGCAGAGAGATAGCACTCTGGACAGACCTCGATCTCATTCATCTGAAAGGCAATTAGTATTTAAAAACTGGCACTGAATAAAGTGTGTACTTATTTTGGCTTACAATTTACAATACATACTTCATGTTCACAGATCTTTACAATGACCTTAGCTGTTGCTGTAAGTTTATGGTTGCCTAAGAGAAAAGCAGACGCAAAGAGATAGTTTTAACAAAACAAACATTCAGCAGAAACTAATTTGACAGTACAGTGGAACCGTTAGCAACCGACCTCCATTATAAATGATACAGTTGTGCAAAATCCACTTCACATCAGCCAGGAAAGCCTCAGTGGAGCCGTACATTTTCTTTTTAATATTCTGAATAGGAACAAAAAGTGAACACACTAATAAAACACTTTCATAAGATGCCAGATTTTAGACATTTCTAAGAATTAGGAATATCAGATCAGATTCAAAATGCTTCGCTTTCACCTTTTCTAAAGTACAGAGATCCATGGGATGAAATATATATTCTGCATAATCAGGATGCTGTTCCAACAACACCGGCTTCTGAAATGGCTCCGTCTGAAGAAAAGAAAGATATATTTTAGTATTAGAGGTAAAAAAAATAATCATCCCGTAATACCTAAAACATTGAAACCGTATTTTTTTTACCATTAATTTCTGGCAGCCAATGCTTCCAGTTTTTTTTTTTTACTGTAGATTTAAATAGGATTTTTTTACAGTGTATTGTACGCATAGAATGACACTTGTGTTGGCATACCGTAAAAAAAAAAAAAAAAAAACCTTTTAACCCAACCTAACAAACCAAATTATGATGTAAAGGCTCTACTGTGAATGTAACCCCAAACAGCACCATTGAGACATTCATGAAGCTTTTCAGGTGGGCAGAATGTGTCTGTTCTATGAGACAGGGGCTTAAATGTAAGGCTGTCATTTCATATTGAAGTGTACAATGTAAAAAAAAGTGGGAAAACATTAAAAAAAAATTGTGCTAGTTCTAGGCACAGCTCTCAAATGTAGACTAAATCATGGATCTGCAAAAGCAGAGTCACGGAAAGTCATGAAACCTACACCAGGCTGCTTCATCTTCTGGAGAGCAAACTTCAGCAGGAAAGACAGCTGATCCAATGTGAGCATCGTCATAGCTTTACTCTGAGTCTCTATGCACTCTGCAACTGTTATTTTCTGTAAACAAAAGAGAGAAATGCTTAAAGCTTTATTTTAATGCAAATATTAAAGGGATGTTTCTATATGTGACCCTGGACCATAAAACCTAAGGGTCAATTTTTCGAAATTGAGATTTATACAACATCTGAAAGCTGAATAAATAAGCTTTTCATTAATGTATGGTAGGATAGGACAATATTTGGCCGAGATACAACTATTTGAAAATCTGGAATCTGAGGGTGCAAAAAAATCTAAATATGGAGAAAATTGCCTTTAAAGATGTTCAAATGAAGTTCTTAGCAATGCATATTAGGCTACTAATCAAAAATTAAGTTTTTATATATTTACAGTAGGAAATTTACAAAATATCTTCATGGAACATGATCTTTACTTAATATCCTAATGATTTTTGGCATAAAATCATTTTGACCCATACAATGTATTTTTGGCTATTGCTACAAATATACCCCAGCGACTTAAGACTGGTTTTGTGGTCCAGGGTCACATATCGTAAAAAGCAAAATATAATTTTTCTGTTGAAAGAGTTTTAAAAATGTATGCAAAAATTAATTCAGATATCACTGGCATGGTATGCTGCCAGTTACAGCTTATGTTTAGTATTCAGTAACTTAGGAGCATTACTAATTTCACATGCAAAAAAGTTAGCCAATCATAAAAGCAGTAATTTACATGCAATATATACATTTTAAAGGGGTCATATAATGCTTTTTTAAAGATCATTATTTTGTGTATTTGGTAGTAGCAAAATAAGCCTGTTTAATTCTAAAAGTCAGAGAGGGTGGAATATTGTCAGGTAAAACAAAAGTATGACTTTTTAGTGAAAGAAACCGTGAAAAAGTGGATTTGAGAGAAAAAACAAACAATTAAAAGTTAATTTAACTAATAGATATTGCCATACTTCCCCAGTTGATTAATGCAACTGGGGAAGTATGGCAAACATTTTTTGTATTACAAGTTTTCTGAAATGTTATGTTTAAATATGCAAATAATGCATTATCTAATTAATTATGCAATAATTATCACAAATTTCCAGAACAGAAATCTGAACAATGTATAAAGCCAGGTTCAAAAAGTTTCATTTTGTTGACGTATCAGGGTCAACGATTTTTACAAAACTGATTTCAGATGTCTTTTTTTTTTTATCACTCCATAAATCAGAAAATATAGCCAGAAAAAAAAATCACCATGGTTTTAGGAACAAAATGGTGTATATAAAATCAAGCAAATCAATATGAACAAACCTCTCTGTAAAAAAAACTTCAGAATATACAGTAGATGAAAAAAAAAAATGTATTGTAAAGAAACGTATTGTAATTGAAATCTACAGATGCACATCGATTTTTTAAAAAAAGTGTAATAAAATAAACTATGTTTTGTCTGTAGTATATCTTGCCCAAAATAAAACACTTCCAAATAGCTAACAATCTGCACTGTGAAGATAAATTATTTTTTTAGACAAAGTAGAGCTGCATGAGCCAGTACCTCACATTCAGGGCAGAACCAGTCTCCCTCGGGCTCTGCAGCCAGTTTGAGGCACTTAGCGTGGTAGACGCGCGGGCAGAGCTCACAGCAGAGCACTTGGCCCTCGCGGTGACACACCCAGCAGTAGAAGTCATTCCGCCCGTCCTGCGGTACAACATCAACAGGGTCTGTGGTGAGTGCGGGCTGCTTCACATAGTAAAAGGGACCATGTCTTAGTTCTGACTGGAATGCGGGCGAGAGAAACAGAGGGTTGGGGTTTCAAAACATGGGTATTAAAGGTAACAAGACAAAACAAACAGGCACAACGGTTATCGATCAGGGAGTGGCATGGAAGGACAGAAATGGGCAAATGTAGACTAATGAGCATTAAATTAATGTAATTTCAATCTGTAACGTGAAAGTAAATGCATCCTTGTTAGAGATGGAAACAAGCTCAGGTCTAATTATTAATTGCAGCTGCATCAACATGAATCATAGGCTGTCCCTGGATATACATTTCTGCTTAGCTCGCATGACAGCCACCTGCCTTGCATTTGTTTGTCTGGGCTCACTATCTGAAGGCACGGACCTTAGGCTGTTTGTGAAAATGAATGTCACTGTCGAAAGATGGCACTTTTCTAGAAGGTAAAATGTTTTGTTTGGATTCCCTGCAACAACAAAAAAACTGTAGTGGTCAACTTGAGGGTTTATCAAAAGCTGATACCAGGGTTTGACAATAAGTGTGGTCTGTTTGCATATGGTTGCTGTTGAGTAAACGCTCATGGTGTGAGATGCTGAAAAAACAGTGGATGTGATGATGCTTAAGGTGTGATGCAATAGCCGCATCAGTCAAAACATGTACAGTCAAACCAAAATTTATTCAGACACCTTTCACACATTATCACAGTTTATTCACTATAGTTTAGAAAATGGTAATAATATATGACAAGAACACAGAGGTAAACTGTTTCAGAACAAATTCATCTTGATAATGTCAAATAACACTTAAAGGAACACTCCACTATTTTTGAAAATAGGCTCATTTTCCAACTCCCCTAGAGTTAAACAGTTGAGTTTTACTGTTTTCGAATCCATTCAGCTGATCTCCGGGTCTGGCGGTAGCACTTTTAGCTGTAGCTTAGCATACATCATTGAATCTGATTAGACCGTTAGCATCTCACTCAAAAATGACAAAAGAGTTTCTATATTTGTCCTATTTAATTCCTTCTGTAGTTACATCGTGTACTTAGACCGACGGAAAATGAAATGTTGCCATTTTCTAGGCCGATATGGCTAGGAACTATACTCTCATTCCGGCGTAATCAAGGGACTTTGCTGCCGTACCATGGGTGCAGCAGGCGCAATGATATTACGCAGCGCCTGAAAATAGGCTAACTTCCGTCAACATAACCAACGTGACCACCTGCTTGCACAGGGAGCGTGCTGGGGACTATTTTCAGGCGCTGTGTAATATCATTGCGCCTGCTGCACCCATGGTATAGCAGCAAAGTTCCTTGATTATTACGCCGGAATGAGTATAGTTCCTAGCCATATCGGCCTAGAAAATTGCAACTTTTCATTTTCCGTCGGTCTTAGTACACGATGTAACTACAGAAGAGTCGAGTTTTAAATAGGAAAAATATAGAAACTCTTTGGTCATATTTGAGTGAGATGCTAACGGTCTAATTAGATTCAATGATCTATGCTAAGCTACAGCTAAAATCTGGCTGAATGGATTCGAAAACGGTAAAACTCAACTGTTTAACTCTAGGGGAGTTGGAAAATGAGCCTATTTTGAAAAATAGTGGAGTGTTCCTTTAAGCAAAACATGGTCAGGTCAAAATGTCTGAATAATTTTTGGTCCCAACTTTTTATCAATTTTACTGGTAGTCCACTGTATGAATACTTTTTTGGTATAATATGTCACAGTTTACTTTATTTTGCTATCCTCACTTACATAAACGAACTATAGTGTCCGGCACCCACTAGTAAAAAAAATATCAAAAATTATATCTGGTGTCTGAATAATTTTAGGTTTGACTGTATACTCAACGGTAAAAAAATAAAACAAGAACACAGGAATGTATTAATATATTGATATTGAACTCTTGCTACTATAACAGCCTGATAAAAGAGGCCTTTCGATTTAATATTCATTGATTTACTCATTTTATTTTGAGGACATAAGTCTAAATATAGCTATTATTAAAATGATAAATCCATATAAGTTATTTAATTTTTAAAAAGTTTAAACTTGATGTAAACTTGATGAAGAAAATGTACTCCACATCTGACTCTTAATTTAAAAACGGCTACTTATTGCTAAAAACAGCAAACCGTTTCATTTTCTTGGTGCTAAAATATCAGCAAAATGTTTTCAATCAAGTATACTTGAAAAACAATAGGAAAATTACTTAGGTATTTGCATCTATTTGATTTCTAGAATCAGCATAAATGTTAATTGTGAATACAATTACATTTAATCAGTTAAACATTTTGAACATTATATATTTAAGCGGTTAAAATGTATGAATTAGTTTACATTTAATAAATTGGATTTATATGACAAATATATAAACCTGGATATTGAGTATTTAATACACATTTGTTAGTTTTTTTAGTAATATTACATAAATCTCATCCTTACTTGTTTCAATTATATGTGACAAAAAAATATGCATCACATTACGTTAATTAGTTTATGTTAAAACTGTTTAATCCAAATGGATGTCAATTTTATATGTAATTAAAATACATAAATCTTAAATATAGGCCTAAATATTTTTTGTGATAAGAGTGATAAGATTTTGATAATGACTAAAATGAAATACATTTTTATTTAACAAAATATTTGCAATCAGAAAATTGCATTATTAATTGACAAGGCTTTTGGCAGATTTTGTAACATTTGCCAAAAGTGCACACAAATCTTAAAGTGGCCAAAAATAAAGTTTGGCACCGTTTCAGGTGGCAAAACAGTGAACTAAATCATAAAGTGTACATATATATTAGGATGATAGTAATGATGTATACCATAAAATCTTGTAGAGAAATCACCACGAAGAAGTCGCCCAAAAGACAAAATAAAAAAACAAAACAAAAACAGACAGACACTGAAATTAGTGAATGACTGACATGCAGGACTGAACAAGGGCCTTGTACAGGGAGTCAAAGTTGCACCTGGTCTTTACTGTTATTGACGGCTCCTGGTTTCTTCTTCTTTTTGACAGGAGTGGAGGAGGATTCCGATGGTGAGTGTCCGTTTGAGGAGTGAGGGGGGCTGGAAACCTTGCGCTTAGGGACGGTCCTCTCTGCTGACCCTTGATCAGAGACTGCACAGCAATGGGACAGATTACTGACACAAACTTAGAGTTAAAACTGTAGGTATAAACTAAACTATACTGAACAAATTAAATCCGACCACAAAGCATCAACAAAAATGGAAGCTTAACAAACATGACGTGTTTGCACGGTTTTGACACTTGATAAATGTGGCACTCTCATCTCATCAAGCACAATTCTCACCCTTGGATCGTGTTGCGATTTCCATCCTTTCAATTGCATCTGACTCCTTCCCTCCTTCAGCCAAACTGCCACAATGAAAAGAAATCAATGGTATTTAAATGTCCATGTTGTACATCTACAGTATACCTGCTGTTTTGTCGTTATGGCACCTGCACTTCTAATGCCATTCTTTTCGGTACAAGAAACTTCTTTACTAAAATGATGCTTGAAGTCATTTTTCACCTTCAGAGGGAATGTGTTTAGTGATAGTGAAGCTAAAAATTTGATACTAGCAACAACAAAAAAAATCAGCTGAGGCCTTTTTCCTGATGGTTTCGTCAACGAGTGACATCAAATTTTATGTAAATATATACAAAAAGGCAAAGCAGTTTAATTTCTTTAAACAATAATGTGCTTTTCTCCAATCCAAAAACACAACAGACAGCCCAATTTAATTATGCAGTGCAAAAAAAAAGAAATACTTAATATTTCTTATATATATATATATATATATATATA